CCAAACTAATCCCACAGACGCTCAAGTTATCCTGTTTTTTTTTCTGTTCTCTAATTCTGTTGGCACGTGTTACCAGCATCTTGCACGTCAATTAAAGATTAAAGCTTGGAGGTTGTGGGGCAGAGGTTCTGTACCCAAAATAGCAGGATATGTTAAGAAATCAAGAGGTGGGAATCAATCAGAAACTTTGATTCTTCTTCATTATTATTCCAGCACAGCACTGGGTTTGCAGTATCACTGGCTACAATTCACACAAGAAAACAAGGGCAAGTATTTTTCATCAATGACCATTTTGATTGAAACCCGTGGGAGCAAGGCCATCATGCTCTGATGAAATACAGTTTTCTTGTTGGTGACAATAAAACTAGAGAAAGGAAGGGAAATAGGTCTTCCTTTTCTGTCCTGGAAGAGCATTATTCCTTATGTTCTTTTTTTTTTTTTAATCCAGGCAATTTCCTGTGCTTCTAAAGCACGATGTCCCACGGGAGGGGGATTTATAGAGCACCTTCCACCCCAAAGCACCGGGCAAAGCAGGAGGAAGGTTGCATTTATTTTCCCTGCTTCCCAGCAGCTGCTGCATTTGTGATCACACAGTTCCTGTGGGTGCATCTCCCCTCTCTTCCTCTGCTCTCTCTGATTTCATCTTGCCGGTTTTCTCCCCTCTGGGGCACAGCTGAGCAGCACCCAGAGGTGGCTGCTGGAATGGCTCGTGGCCAGCTCTGGCTGTGGGAGATGATGCAAGGTCAGGGCGAGCAGTGCAATAACCCACGGCCCCAGGGGAGAGGCACAGGGACAGGGACCCAGCTCTGCTCCCTGCAGGGCTTTCCTCTGGGCCCACATTCCGTGGGTGAAATTAAGGGGAAATTCCTGAATGACTGAGACAAGTTGGAGAAAAGACGGGGTTAAATATTCTGATGGTTAAGGGGTTGAAGCATCCCATGTACAAGGAGAGGATGAGCAAGCTGGGGGTCCTCGGCCTCAAGATGAGGTGGTTCAGGAGGGATCTATCAACCAACTGCCAGGGTGAGAAGGAGTGGGAACAACCTAAAATACAGGAAATCCCATTCAGAGGACTCCTTTCACTCTAAGGGTGGTCAGAGGTAGAACAGGTTGCCCCGAGGGGCAGTGAGAGCCGAATCCTTGGGGAATTCAGAGCTGAAGCAGGCAGGGCTCTGCTGAGCAAGCTGCCCTGCTGAGCAGGAGGCTGGGTTAGAGGATGGCCAAAGGTCCCTTCCAACCCCTGTGATCCCACAAGTGTTTGCCAAAGGAAACTAGAGGCAGAGACATCGAAACTGGTGCAGATCTGGAATCGCAGGATATCGGTGGCAGGGCTGGAGCCTGTCACACTCCAGGATGTTTCTTGATTGAAAAAGAGCCCTACTCATTATTACAGATTTTTTTCCTGATTATTACAGTGGAAAATAACAGAATATATATCCCAGATGGCCCAAACCAGTATTTTACAGCAGGTACAGGGCCTTTTATCAAGGTGAAAAAGCCTTTAAGTGAAATAAGTGCGGAACAAGCCGACCTTCCTACGGCCACTCCGGCTCACTGCCCCCATCTGCTGGGAACAGCCGGAGGGAAACCTTCCCCAAATACACCCGGCGTGTTTGTTTTCGTGGCCGTCTGGTTCCCTGGCTCCTCACAGCCCTCTTGCCTTCCAGCCCAGCCGGAGTGACCTGGTGTGGGGGCAGAACAGCCCCCCTTTGCCTCCTGCCCTTGGGGTGTCTGACAGCTCCCTCCGACGGGAGCTGCTGGGTTAAAAGGACACTGCTCAGGGGGGAAAGGACGTTTCTTGCCCCATGGAACTGAACAAAGCTTCCTGCTCCTCTCCCCTCGGCGAGGAATGTTGTGGTGATGTCTGGATTAGGCACCTGAAGTCCAGGGGCTCTTTCTAAATCCCACACTCAGCCCGGGTTTCTTCTCTGGATTTCCCCCCTTAAGAGGGGGAGGGAGTGGGGAGGTTTTTTCCCTGCACTTCATGTCCCACACAAAGTTCATCATGCTCTGACTGTACCTGTAGTTCATTGTGACAGCGCTGCCCACGCTCCACGTATTCATCCTCAAAATTCCCTGCAGGAGAAGGCAGTGCTACAGTCCCCATTTCCAGACCAGTGGCACACTGGGGGTCCCAGGGCACTACCCGGACCTTGGCACTGCCCTTCCTTCCTTGTGGGTGGAGGGAAGGAGGTTCTGCCATAAACTGGAAAGGGAAAAAGCAATGCACATTTGGGAGCTCAACATCAGGCCCTTCTTTTTTTTGCCTCCTTTTTGAGCTACTTGGGAAAGCACAGTAAAAACTGAGTAAAAAAATCAAACTCCGGAATGCAGATTCAGGAATTTCTACGTTTGAAATAGAAACTGATTTTTTCCTCTCTCCAAGAGCCCAAGGTATTATTCTAAAAAAAAAGAAACGACAACAAGCAAAACCCTTTTAAAGTCTGTGTTCTTTTCTACAAGCCCTTCTTTCCTCCCAGGAAGATTAAAAAGAGCTCTGGCATTTTGTATTCTAAATTTTGACTGACCAGAACAAAATGTTTTCCCGGCAACGTGGTTTTGCGCCTCAGCCTTTTTTGCTCATTGACCTTAGGATGCAGAATTTCATAAAACATTTATTGTCTTCTCCAGTTTTTAGAGCACAATTCCCCTGTGATACCCTGTTTTCATCGTCTGCTCTGAGTAGGATTCCAAGGCTTCTCTCGCAGTTTGAATTTTAATTGTGGGTGAAGGGAAGAACCTCTGCTATTTGCAGCAAAATTAGCCAGTGCCCTCCCTAAGCAAAAAGGGCTCCAACAGGTAAAGATGGTTAGAATGAGAGCCAGGAGACAGCCAAGAACCTGCAAAGTGATTCTGGGAGAGGTGTTTTGTCCCCAAGTGAGCAGGTTTTGCCCAGTGCCCTCAGCACTGGCACAGCTTGGGATCCTTTTCCCTCAAAAACTGCAGCTGGTAAAGATGAAATGCAGCTCAAAACCAAGCCAACCAAACCTTCCTCTGAGCTATTTGAGGACAGCCAGACAGACAAAGAAATGGGTTTTCTCTGACTTTCCCTGTGCCCAGCCCCTGCTGATGCCTCGCTCTGGATGCTGCAGGTTTACCACTTAATGCTCTCCAAAGATCATAATGCATCAATTAGAAAAGCCATTGCAGAGGTACCACTTTCCTTGGATGGTTAACGAGCGTGGCCATAAAGGGATTTGCAACCCGAATTTCATGACAGAGCCAAGGTATAATTTGCTCTGGGCTATAAAGCCCATGAATTATTGAGGCAATTTACTTCCACGTCTGCGCTTCCTTTCAGAGCACAAGTGCTCGTGCTGGGAGCATGTGTGTGAGAGGAGAGGCAGGGCTGGAGGCACCAACCCCTCCAGCAGCCCAGCTCCCCAGCACAGGCCCTGTCACACAGCCAGCAAAGGGCAACAGAAAGCAACTGGCAAAATGATCATTTTGGGCACACGAGAGGAGAAAAACTGCACGTGAACAGAGCCAAGCTGAGGAGCAAATATAAACCACGATGGAAAATGCACTTTGGGTACTTACAGAGAGGGGCTTTTCCCTTCGAGGTGTCACAAAGCTGGGGTGGATACAGCGAGGCCTGAAGAGATCCAGTGATGGAGAAAACCAGAAGCCTGACAAATCAGAACTCTTAGACCCTCCATCCAGCTGAGCCTATAACCTGCTGTGGGACCAACCTCCCACTTGGTGTTCTTTTTAAACCTGCTTCCTTATGGAAGTGAGGCTTTGGAATCAGTCAAATCCACGTCCTGCCTCCCCTCCTTCCCCTCTGCACACCCAGCTACAGGCATGAACAACAAGGAACTCTCTCTGACTTATCCAATTAAACAGAAACAGCCCAGGTGATCACTTTTCCATCCTAATTCCTCTATTTAGCCTTAAGTAAGGCAGCTGGGAGCAACATTTTCCAGCTGTGTAGACGAGGATTCAGGAGAGCAGCCTTTCCATCCTCTGTTCTGACATTAGTTCCTTCAGGGGTCCTCTGCTCTCGCTGTTCCCCCGTGGGACAGTGGTTCTAACTGATGGACTGGGTTTCCTACACAAAAATAAACCGTTCTCAGGGTGGGAAGAGTTCTGTGTTTGCTGCAGGGATTCAAAGGGAATTTGTAAATCCCCTCGTCGTGATCTTTCTGTCTGGAGGGAGGTGACCTCTGCAGTGCTTTTGGGCTGAGGGAACCTGTGAAGTGAAGGTGTAAATAATGACCATGGTGGGGGCATCTGCCCCCAAGGCTGTGATCCCACCCTGTGAGGGGTCAGATGGTTGAGATAAAGGGCTGAGCCATCACTGCTGAAAACACTGAGCAGCAAACCGAGCTGCTTGTGGTGTGCAGAGCAAGGCTGTGTCCCCACGGGCTGGTCGGGGCAGGAGTGACGTGAACAAAGCTTCTGTTTGAGGTAATGAACCACGTTATAAAGCAAGAGCCTGGGCAAGACACAAGGTTGCTCCTTAGGTGGAGAGAAACCCCCAGATTATGCCCTTGTTCCTGGGAAGTCAGGGGCATTTGGGGTTTGGTTGGGGTTTTGCATCCCCCCAAAGCAAAGGGACACAGTTTGGCAGCGCTGGGTCAGGCGCTGCCCACACCCCAAAGCAGGAGCGCTGTGCAGGGGAGGGCAGGGAAGTCAAACCGTGGGGTTATTCCCATCCTCCCGCAGCAGGACCATCCCTTCCCGAGCCGCTGCTCCCACCGAGCAGGGAGGGACTGCCCTCTTGTGTCAGTCACTGCGGCTCCCTCTGCCTGCTTTCACGTTCGTTTGTGAGGGAGCTCAGCCATTTCCCTGCAACAGATATTCCTGCTCTGGAAAGGCAGAGGCTTTGTTCCTGAGTACTATCCTGGTGGAAAAGTTCCACAAACAGAAACACATCTGCCGTATTTGTGCCCTGCAGACACCCAGGGCTGGGCATGTCTTGCCCTCCCAGCCAGAGACATCCAGACAGTTCCCCTGGGTCATGCCCAGTCTCCATCTTGGCACAGGAAAAGAAGGAGAAAGAATAAAAGAGGAGAAATATAATTAAGAATGACAGAGAGGAGACACAAGAGAAGCAGATTTGTTACACCAGTCAGCCCTCATAGTAAGGGACATGCAAGTTAAATATAGAGCTGACCCTTCCCCGGGGAGCCACGGGCAGCTCACACACACCAGCGTGGCTGGCAGAGACCTTCAGTCTTAAATCATCAGTGCTCATTTCCAGAGCAGTTCTTGCAGTGATGGTTGGCAGAGAATAACAGCCTTCTAAAAGCTGTGCAGGCTTTTGTGCCCACCACTTCTACTGCTGGTTCATGGCAGACACTGGGGTTTGTGCTCCAGTGTTAACAGCACCAGTGCTCAGGCTTTCCTTCCTGCTCCCATCCCACAGAGAATCCCAGAGCAAGGAGCCACCCTGGGCATTGCTTGTGTTCTTAAAGGCAGCCAAATTAGCACCTTGCTAAAGTGGAATCAAGAAAATCCCTACTCAGGAGTGGGCAAAATTCCTACCACTTGGAATAGGGAAGGGCAGGCAAGGGAAGGAGCTGGCATTTAAAAAAGGCCTCTCACAGCCCGTGTTTTTACCTGGGCTGTGACTGCTGTAACCAGCTCCAAGCTCCCAGGTTTAAAATGATGCCCAGCAGGTGTCCTTCTGTCAGTACTTCCCAAAGGACCATCCCTAGGAGTAACTTCTTTGGGCTGTTGCCCAGCCTGTACGGTGGGATTTGTACCTACAGCTTATTCTGGCTGGTTTGTGCCACCCTGCTCATTCCTGAGCTCATCCACGTCCTGAACTGGGGAAAGCTGCCAGGAATCAGGGATTTTTCTGTCCTGTGCTGAGACCCCGACACCTGAGCAGATAACAAAGGATAAAGGCATCTTTGAAATGCTTGATGGGTGTTTGAAACACCTGAGTAACACTGAACTTGTGTGCAAGTGCCTCTTTGGGACTCACGTGCATTTCATCTGGAGAAAACAAACAGTGAAAGGATCCCCCACACAAGGCAGCTCTTCTCAAAGACAGGAATTTAAAGATTTACAAAACCTCAACAACAATCCCTTTGGGTCTCATGACCAACAGCCACCAAGAAGTGTCTTTTCTCCTCTGCCTCTTTCCCTGTCTGTAGTTGTGGAACACAAGGAAGGCATTTCCCTCCACACACTCTCCTGTCCCTGCTTGGCATCTCCAGGCTCAGGAGGAACAGGAGCCTTTATGCAGCAGTTTGTGCTCAGCAATTTTCTGGACAGTCGATGTTCTCAAAAGAAGAGAAGCTGCAGAGGCTGTTCAGTGGGACTTGTGGGGATTCCCCCTTCAGCTCCAGCATGGGAAACTTCTGTTCTGGAACAACAGCTTCCTGCTTGTGCTGTTCTGAGTGTGTATTCCCAAGGTGGCAGAATTCCCCAGACCTTTCTCATGGCTGGACACAAGGAGTATTTTTTTATCAGGAGATGAACAAGCATTCACGTCCCACTTCTACAGGAATTTTTAAACTGCTGCCCTTTTACCTCGTTTCATATCCTTGAAGCAGCTTTACCAGGGGGTTACAGAAGGCACAGAAAACATTTCTTCTGACAGATCATTGCAAGGGCACGAGAGGAAACATCTTCCCACCACAACCTACTTATAAACCCAAACTCTTCACGTCCTCTTTGATTCTTACAGTCCTTCCCTTCCTGTACTCCCCATCTGAAGTGAGTCACATCTGTGGCTGTTCTTTTGTGGCACCTCCTGAAGTCCCTGAATTTGCCTGTGTTGCTGGATCTCTGCTCACTGTGTCAGGTGGGTCCTGGCTGGGGCTCAGCCCCCCTGGTGTCCCCTGTTCAGGGATGTCCCTGAGTTTCTGGGCCACTTCAGCCTCCTGCTTTCCCATCTGCACGGCTTCGTCATAGGAGGGTGGCAAGTCCAGTGCATAGACACTGTAGGCTGGGGGGGACACAGTGTTCTTATCCATATCCACAAACACTGCAGGGATCTGCACACTTGGAGGGTACTGCCATGAGCTGTATGCTGGGAAGGAAAAGAATGGAAAATAGAAATGAAACACCTGCAAGGAACACTGATAAATAACGGGCTGATCTGCTTTTCTCCAAGATATTATGGGCTCGTTTTTGTGGTGTCAGATCTCGTTTTTGTGGTGTCAGATCTCGTTTTTGTGGTGTCAGACACATCACTGTGCATTTAAGCTGTCAGGAGAGAATCCCCCCTGGTGGAGGCTGTGCATTCTCCCAAAGGAAGCGGCCAGGAGAGGAACATCTCTGCATCCCAGTGCCAGTGACTGCTGTGAGACACCTGACCCAGCACAGGGGGAACACAGGGGGCTCAGCTGGGTTGGGACAGGAACAGCTGGGAACCCTCACAGCAGAGAGAACTTCGGCTGGAATAGTCCCTCAGGAAAAAATGAGGGAGTGGTGAGAAGAACAGGTGGGGGAGAGGACACGTAAGAGGTTAACCCACCATGGACTTCATTCTAATCTCTGAAGCATCACATCCTCCTCAGTCTCCTGCACCCACTCCCTGTGTCACCCTGGTGACCTCCCTGCATCTCCTGCCCACCCTGGGGGCTGGAAGTTGTTCTGGGAGTGCCCTGGGAAGCTCCTGTTGTTGCAGGGGCCGGTCCCAGGATTGCAGGCCCACGGGGGACCCCCGGGGTACTCACAGGTGACGGTGCTGTGGGCGGTGCTGTCGCTGTCGATGCCGATCCCTGCCAGCTCACAGGGGTGCCGAGGGAACGCCTCTGCCGGGAGCCTCTTCCTGCGGCAGCAGAACCTGACACAGCTCGCTGAGAGCCCGCAGAGCAGGAGCAGGAACACCGTGAGCAGGATCAGCCTGCGGGGAACAGCGTCACTGCAGGGCTGTGTCTCACTGCCCAGAGCTGAGGGGATCCCCCTGAACGGCTGCAAGGCAGGCCCAGCCTCCCGCGTTTAGTTCCCAATGAGCCCTGGATCCCGAGTTAGAAAGTTGGATCCCAGCCCCTGAATGCCAGGTTGAAGCACTGCTGCCCATGGGGACAGTCCGTCCTGGCTCGTGGATGCCACACCTTTGGGTTGTTCTGGCAGTGGGAATGGCTCTGCTTCCCACAGGAACAGAGGGTTTGTACTTGGAGTGAAATACAAGCACAAACTTTCACAAGTCTGGGGCCCACATTTATAAAGGAGCACAGAAATTATAATTTATGCCTTGAAAATGCAGTTCTACCTCCAGCCATTGTTTAAGGCTGGAGAGTTCTTTAACAATCTGCAGTGTCCCCAGGGTGATGTCCCGGTGTTTCAGGTCCTACTCTGCTCCGAAACTCCACCTTCCTCTCCCCCAGTTTCCCAAACAAACCCACTCTTCCCATGGAGGTTTTTAGAAGCCTTCTCAAGCTCTTCTGCATAACTGTGTATTTTTAAACAGTTCTTTGTATCAGCACGTGCTAAGAAAGCAGAGTATCAACCAAAATGAGTCCAGACTGAAGGACAGGTAAAAGTCCCCAAGTCACTCTGTGTGCTGCCACCTAAGTTAATGTGTGGACAGAATGCAAACCGTAAAATGATGTTTGAATGTCTGTAATGCTCGTGTTAGGCAAGAGATGAAGGCATTTGTGACCAGAGCTTCCTCTCCTGCTGATCCCTATTTCCCCCTTTCAGTCACTCCAACAGTTCCCAGGTATGAGTTCAGAGAGCAAACCCAGCACTGAGGTGGCACCTCGAGCCCAGGATGGTGCCCAGGGCAATGCCAAGTCCCAACAAGTCTGTGCTGTGCAAACAGCCCAGAGCCAGCCAAGCTCTGGCTATTTAGGAACAACAAGGAGCCCTGCAGTCCAACTGTAGCGCTCTCAGAAAGGAAAGATGACAGAGCCCTGGACGAACGCTGGGCCTGACACCCTATCTGCCCTGGGCTCAGCTAATCCACTCCTCTGGCAGCTCCCAGAAAACAGGAGAAGCCCTTCCCTCCATCCCGCCCCGAGAAGTGTTTCCATTCCCCTGCTGCAAGTGCTGCTCCAAATAGCTCCCGATGCTCAGTGAGCTCAGTGAGCTCAGTGAGCTCAGTGACCAACTCACCAGACATACCACAGGCTGGTCCAGTCAGACATGTTCCGAGGGCATCTGGGAGGGAAGGCACAGGAGCCAGGGGGTTCAGTAGCTCCAGGGGGTTCAGTAGCTCCAGTCAAACAGCGCCTGTGTGACAGGGAATACAATTCCCAGGATTTCTGAGGTGGAAAACGGAAAGCAGTCAGTAAGAGTATGGAGCAAAACCCCTTTAGGTTTACTTTCAGAGAACTGTTCTTTGTAGCTGTAAAATTACTGCAGCTGAGAACATTCGGACAATCCCTCTGTACAAATTGGCTTCTGAGCCAACAAATGTTTTTACCAAGTGGTGCTTTACTCTTCTTGGGAGAAAGACAGACACGTGCAGGATTCCCAAAAACCAGATCAGAGTGTTGTTTGAAGGTAGCTGAGAGGAGGTGCCTCGTGGCACAGACCTGCCTGACACTGCCAGCCCAGACAATGCCGTGTCAAAGTTACTTTTCCCCAGCTCCGGTGCAGCCAGAGATGTTTTCAGCTCTGTTACAGTACAAGAGGAGAACAGCTTGTGTCACATTTGAGCAGTGCAGCTGCCACACTGTACGTCCTGAACCTCCTGCCATGGATTTCAGGCACCAGAACAAAGGTTTTGGCCACGGGGGAGGATCTGGAGACTGTTCACAAGTTGACACTTTCAGAGTCGTTTTGGGAGAGGATCGTTCACCTCAGTCTACAGAGCAAGGGTAGCCAAATTTGTGAGCTGCTGAGCATCTCAGAGATCCAAATGCAGCTGTAAGGGGTGGCCATCAGCAGGTCACCGCTCTGACCTGGTCATGTCCCTGGATCCCGGTGGGAGAGGGTCGGGCAGTGGGTTACTCACCGGTCAGAGCTCTCGCACTTCTCCCAGAAGAGCAGAGCGATGCCCGGGAAGGGCGGGAGCCGGGCCGGGAGCAGCCCCGGCCAGAGGAGGAGCACCCCGAGCACTGATCCCTCTGCTGAGCGGGGTCCGCGGTGGAGTGTCGGCGCTCCGGGGCTGAGCCGGGACAGCGACAGCGACAGCCGCGTCCTCAAGGACACGGGCTGGGCTGAAAGGGGACACCAAACCCGCGGGGAGCCGGGGCCACATCGGAATAAATAACCGGCATCGGCATCAGCGGGCGGGGAGAGCCGGGCGGGGCAGGGGCAGGACCAGGACCGCCCCCTACCCCAGTCCCAGCCCCAATCCCTGCCCCATTTCCAGCCCCATTCCCAGCCCCAATCCCTGCCCCATTCCAAGCTCCTGCCCCATTCCCAGCCCCAATCCCTGCCCCATTTCCAGCCCCAGTCCCAGCCCCAATCCCTGCCCCAGTCCCTGCCCCAGTCCCTGCCCCAGTCCCTGCCCCAGTCCCAGCCCACCATGAGCGGGAGGTCGGGGTGGGGATACCGAGGGACAGAGCTCGGCTTTCAGAGATCTCCCCAGAGCGGTTTGGGGATAACCCACCCTGTGCCTGTGCTGTGTCAGAGACACTTGGAAGGAGAAATAAAGGAATGGGAAACCTGGCATGAGAAATGTGAGTCCGAAACAACTGTTTGGAAAAGCAGATCATTTCCTGGTTTAAAAAGAGTCTCGTTAAAACACATGAAGCACGACTGAGAAGGTACCACTGCTCTCTGAAGGTCAGTTTGCTCCAAACTGATTTAACTACATTTCACATGTAGAAATTCCTTATCTCCACCCATGAGCCTTTCATTTGATGTTCTCTGCCATCCCACCACACCACCGGGGAACCACGGCATGGGAGCCCCCGGGTACACAATGCCAGGGAAGCACCAGTGGTATTCCCTGCTTTTGCTCCATAAGGCCCAACTGCAGGGATTCCAGGCCCAGCAGTGATTCCAGGCCCAGCAGTGATTCCAGCCCAGCAGTGATTCCAGGCCCAGCAGTGATTCCAGGCCCAGCAGTGATCCCAGGCCCAGCAGTGATTCCAGGCCCAGCAGTGATTCCAGGCTCAGCAATGGCACGGGGCAGACCGAGCCCAGGGTTTTCCTCCAGGGCTGCTCAGGATCACGGGGCCGTTGCTCACCCAGGAAAACCTGTGCTCATACGTGTGAAGCAATCGCTGAAGTCACTTCTGGAGAAGCAGAACATGAATTATTCATATGTGTGTGACACTGGTGCTTATTCTTTTACTTTCTGTGTCAGAAATGAGCTGGGTTTGCCTTTTAAGGATTATAAAGACCATCCACGGATGTGAATTGTTTATTAAACCAGAGCTGCATCAGCACGGGATGCAGTTTATGATTTTAGATGCAAATGGGAAATCACAAACCTTGTGTCCAGTGACCCAGGAGTGATCACAGTTGCAAAAACTCAGTCTGAAAGCAGAATGATCACAAGTGCAGAAAACTTAAGCTTCTAGGAAATGTAGACATATTCCTGAGGTCACACTTTCCATGCTGTCCTCACAGTAAGGGCTCCATCCCTACTGGGGTCCTGTAAGGTGGACTCAGTGGCATGTTTAGAATCTCCTGGCAGTTTTAATGCCTGAAGTGCTCTGACTGTGATAACCTGCTTTGGAAGCACAGAATGGAAGAGGATCCTGTGCCTGTTCAAGAGCTGAACTTGCAGGAAGGCCGTGGCTGCTGTGCTGAGCTCCTGCTGGGAGCTGGCACTGATCCCTGCCCAGAGAACACACCAGTGCTCCCAGCTCTGTGCTCATGGAATCACCTACAAACCCACCACTTCTGGTCCAGCTCGTCTGTCTGAACTATGAGGGGAATTGTTTCCAGTCACCAGCCATCCCAGCCAATTGTCTGCTTCCAAAGGATCCAAATTATGTGCCTGGAATAACCCTTTGACTCCCACCCGCTGTGCCCTCCCTTGCTCTCTGGGAACTGCCCTCTCCCGGGTCCCTGTCCCCCGGGCAGCTCCACGTGAAGCAGTTTTCCGTGATGGAGTGGGATTTACTGGCCCTTCTCAGGCTGTGGGAGAACCAGCACACAAAATCCATTGTCCCCACCTCCAGCCCAGCTGTGCCAGGGCTCTGGCGAGGGCAGAGCTGTCTCTGGCTGGCACTGCCACCCCCAGCTCCTGCCCCTCCCCTCTCTGATGCTGCAGCATCTGCAGTCTTTAGACTCAAGAGTTAAGTGACTCCACAGCCACTCGAGCCATTATTAAATGGGAACAGGTCTCAATGGATCAAACAACTGGCTGGAAAAACAAGGAACCCCCTCATCACTCACACAAGCTTCCTCTGTCACGGGGGAAGACCTGCTGAAGTATTTCTCGTGACAGCGGCTTTGCTGCTGCTCCTGCAGCCCCCGGAGCCACAGGAATATTTACAAACAGGGTTTCCATTCTGGGATTGCCTCACCCAGACCGGTGATTTAACAGCCACAGGGGGCAAAGGGCAACACACCCTCGGAGTGGGGGGAGGGAACTTGGTTACAGCTTTGCAGTGACTCAGGACAGAGCTGACACAAGATGTCAAAGATTATCCATGTTTCCAGTGCTGACTCCCCGATCCCTCCACTCTCCACCCTGGGCTGCCCTGAACCAGCTGCTGCTTCCTGACACAAGTTACACCTGCAGGGCCCTCCCCGGAGAGAGGCAGGGATCTCCTCTTAGTCAGAATTCAGAGGGAAGCAAACAGAGAAACCCAGAGTTCCTGGACAGCCAGGATGTAGGGCAAGGATGTCTGATCACACCCAGGGAGCAGCACAGGCACTGCTCCCCCAGACCACATCTCAGCAGGCAGGTTGCAGAGGGCACTGTAAGAGTGACTGCCCAGATGGGCTGCAGGAGCCTTGGATATGAAACTTTATTCTGGTCTTAAAAAAGTCAAGGATCTTCCAAATTCTATAAAAAGCATCTGAAATTGGAAAATGAGACCTCGTTTGAAACCCACCCATGTGGATGTAAACCAAACACTCCTCCTGGTGGAATGCCCACCTTTGGGAGACACTGGGATTAACAGCAGTTGTAGCTACTTGGGCCCCTCATTAATTCCTTCTTCTACCACCAGATTATTGTCCCAGAGTCAGCTGGAAAATGACCCTGGTGGCACCAGAGTTTACAGAGAATTTTGGGGAAAACAGAGCAGAAATATTAAATGTCCCTTCCCTCCCTGCTCCCCTCAGGTACTTGCAACAATCCCCAATGTCCCCACGTTTCCCCAGAGATCCAGTGAATTCCCAGCAATGTCAGCCTCCATCTTCCTCTCCATGGGCCGGGAGCCCTCAGGGGGTGGGAGCACAGGCAGACACGACTCGAGCCATGAACAGGACTCGGTAACACACCGTGATGTCCCCCTTCAGGGTCAGGAGGGCTGTCACCAGGGGAGGGTCACTGACCTACAAGAAACCACAGAAACCCCCCTGGTTTCTGTCCCAGAGCAGGGGAGTGGGTCAGGCTCTGTGGTGCCAGCCCTGGGCACAGGTTTCCTCCCTCCCCCTGTGCTGGCTCTGCTGTTCCCAGCACGGCTCGTGCAGGCAGGGGGGTCTGGCAGTGACTGAGCCTCTGTCCCCAGAGTGCCCCTGACTGTGACACTGTCACAGCAAGAGCAGAGCACTGGGCAGGAAACGGGTCCTGTCAGCCCCCAGTGAGTGCTGCAGCTTGTGTAAGAGCCAGGGCTTACCAAGAGGCACAGTGTCAACCTGTCACCCCTGCCAGGAACCCCAGAGCCCCTCTGTGCATGTGACACCAGCAATCGCCTAATTTTGGAACAAGCTGCTCATCCTCCCATCCCACACATCCCACTCAGCTCTTCCAGTCCCCGTGAATGCCCCGGGAGGTGAATCAGAAGGGGCAGTCACGGCCCTGTGGAGATGTTGGGACCTCAGACCCAGCCTCTGGGATACAAAAAGGCAGGAACAGCCAGGGAATTGAGGTTGCTAAAGTGGGAAATCAAAAGGCCCCACTGACTTCCAGGAATGTGCCAAAGGCAAGGCAGCCCAGAGAAATGTGAGCAGTGTGGCAGAGTGATCCATGGAAACCCAGCTGTGCCAGTGGGATGCAGCAGTTCCCTCTCGGGGTCACTCAGGGACTCAGAGCTGTCCCAGAACAGCAGCAGCACTTTGGCTCTCGGTGCTCTGTGACAGTGGCCTGGAAGGAGTTATCCCCCAAATGGTGTCCCTGTGTCCCCCAGGATATCCCTGTGTCCCCCAGGATGTCCCCATGTCTCCCCAGTATGTCCCTGTCTGTGTCCCCCAGGATGTCCCTGTGTGTCCCCCAGGATGTCCCTGTGTGTCCCCCAGGATGTCACTGTGTGTGTCCCCCAGGATTTCCCTGTGTGTCCCCCAGGATGTCCCTGTGTGTCCCCCAGGATGTCCCTGTGTGTCCCCCAGGATGTCGCTGTGTGTCCCCCAGGATGTCCCTGTGTGTCCCCCAGGATGTCGCTGTGTGTCCCCCAGGATGTCCCCGTGTCCCCCCGGTGTCCCCCAGGATGTCACTCACGCTGAGCTCTGCAGGTGGCGCCCATGACACGCGGATGCTCCGCTCCTGCCCGCGCTCCAGCGCTCCCCGGGGCTCCTCCACAGCGATCCCCGCCCGCTCCAGCTCCGGCAGCGAGTCCAGGCTGAACTCCACGGCCTGGGAACACACAGCACACCCTGCACTGCCCTTTGCCGAGCTGCTCCTGCCCCTCGAAACCCCGAGGATCCACCTCGTTCGTGGTTGTCACAAAATCTAATTCTGAGCTCAAATTCTGTCTTTCATTATTAGGGAAGCAAAGTGCTGCATTAATTATGTTGCTGACTTATTCCTCCTATATCTGCCCCCGAAAAAGAATCTTTTCAAACACAGTGCAAACATGGTGCAAAGTTGATCACAAACCCTGAAAGCTGTGTTTTGTCATTTACAGAGTGAGTTTTGGACAGAAGGCAGCAGCAGCCACCTGTACACTGCCAGTACTGCCCACAGCATAAACCTGCAGGTTTCCTCTCCCTCACCTTCTTGGCTGCCAGCAGAGGTGTGTCCACAGCCCCCACCCTCAGCTCTGCCCTGGCTGGCTCTGCAGGGCCCCCTCCATCCACAGATTCCAGCAGCAGGAGAAGGGACCTCACCGGCTCCTGTGGCTCTAAACAAAGAGAGACAGTCAAACCTGAGCCACTTCAGCTCAGAACGAGCAGAAATTGCACCAGGATGGGTTTAAAACAAGTGGTGTTGTGGCAAACTCCTGAGCTGGTACTGACAGGGAGACCCTTCTTACAGAGCTAGGCAGGAGTTCAGGAAAAGGAGGTTTTGTATAATTTGCAATTGCAAACTGCAGTTGTTGCTTGTTTGTCAAGTTCCACGCTGGTTTTCCAGCTCATGGCACACACCTCTGTGTACCATATTCCATAAGTGTGCATGTGCTTCAGCTTATTTTTACCTCAGGAGTCAGGGGTTGCTCACACCCTGTCCCTGGACACAGATCCTGCCCACAGAAGTTAAGGAAGGATCACTTCAAAACCCTGAAAGTGTGTCTGTTTTGTAACAGGACGAGTGGGAGAGTCCAGGATATCTGGTTATACATGAAATAATTTTCTAGACACCTAATACACACCAGAGAACCACAGAGAGCAAACACATCTTAATAACTTTGTAGCACTGTTACATTATAATTCTTTTTTTGCAAGTAAGTTGCAGAAGTGGATGACCATTAAGATACAACTGCATTAAAATTAAGAGAGAACCTTCCTTAAGAGAGTTTCCTGCATTTTTGTGTGTGTTACAAACACAGGCTGTACCAAAATGCTCATTTGTTCTGATTCTGGGAAAATTGTCTCCTAATTGCCTTTTTCTTAAAGGAAGAGGAGCATTCCCACGTCTCATCACTCCCTGCTCTGTGACAAGGTGTCAGTGGTGGCACTTTACCTGCCGTCAGTGCTTCCTGTGATGCCACAGACGATGTGACAGCCAAGGACTCCACGGGCACGTCCAGGGGAACCCCCCCCTCCACAAACATGGGGTGCTCCCGCGCCGCTCCCCGCAGGGGGACCTCGTGGGCTGTTTGCTGGGGGGGACACAGAGCTTGGGATGCAGGTGCCAGCTCAGTGGAGTGACAGCTCCATGCCACAGCAGCACCAGGGGCATGGAAATCTTGGCACCCCTCCTGTGGAATGATCCAGGCCGAGAGGATCCCCAGTGCAGGAGCCCTGCCCTGCCCACTCTGGGCACTGTGCCCCAGGAGGGGCTGCACAAACTCTTTATACAAACGCCACCAAAAAGGGCAAAACTGCTCTGTTGCAAACCTGGCTGAGGTTTGTGAGCCAGGACCAGTCTCCAACCTCAGCTGGCTCGGGTTTGTGTTCCCAGTGACGATCCCCAAGGTCTCTGGAGACACACAGCCTGCAGAGAGGAGCAGTCCCTGCCAGCCCTGCCCTGTCTGCAGTGCTGCTGCCGGGCAGTAGTGGTCACTCTGCCCTCGCTGTTGGCCCCCGTGTCCTGGCAGGGCTCGGGGTGCCCGCGGTGCCTCCACCTGCCCCTCCGGAGGTGCATCCCGGGCTGCTCTGCAGATGGACCCTCGGCCCTGGCCGCCGCTCCGGCCGCTCCCTGGGGCTCCCTGGGGCTCCCTGCACCTGCCAGCCCTGCCTGCCCCTGCCATGGAACGTCCCTGCAGGGACCTGCTCGGAGCTGTGCCCGGAGCTGTGCCCGGCGCTCACCCCCCACTGCAGCGGGGAGGGGACGGGGCCGAACCCCGAGTCGCTGTTGTCGATTCGTGACTGAATGTCCAAACCTGGGAAGGGTCAGTGGGCCCCAGACCCGCCCTCCCCTCCCTACACCAGGTCAGGAACATTCAGACTTTGCTCCCATAACCCAGGAGGTCTCACCTTGCCAAAGAGCACGACCCGGAGGCGGTCGGAGTAGTACAGACTCTCATGGTCAGGACTGAAGGTAACAACAAACTCCTGGCTCTTCCCAGCCTCGATTTCCCCCTCTGTTGGAAAGACGCTGAACACACTTAAGCCACTGTAGTTCTGTGTTCCTGGTAAACAAAAATGAGGGTACAGATAAGAAAGGAGGACAGCTCCATCTTACTACTTCATAAATTTTAAACCCATTTAATTTTTGTTGGAACAGCGAATACATAAGAGCTGATACATGGCTTTGCAGCAAAACAGGGTGTTAGAAACACCAGATAGCTCCATCCATCAGTTTGATAAATTCACCTCCAGAGGAACTGAAGCAGCATCACCAAATCCTTCCTATATTCTGACGTGTTTTCACAGAGATGGACATCCCTAAGCATAATCTGTAATAGGCAATTACAGATTTGTGTGGGTTTATTTAATATCTCCTTCCTTGTGGGTACTTGCTGAGGCTGCATAAATTTACAGCTGCCCATATTGAAAGAATCAGTACAGCTCCTGCTGGGGAGCAAAACGAGGTCTTTACTTTCAATGCTGTGATGCCCCAGGTCTGACAGGGGCAGATCCACCAGGACAGAGCAGTGCTGCTTTACACTGCCTGAGCCTTCAGCAAAGGGAAAAGAGGAAAGAAAGCCCCAAGTTACCAACAAACTCTGTTCTCTGCCCAGAGGAGCTGAGGAAGGCCGGGATGTTCTGCCGGTCCCTGTCCCGGGTGGGTGACAGCGAGTCCAGCTGGGTGCAGAACGGCAGGGCCAGGCTGGAAGTGTTCTGGACCTGGGGACATTCAGTCACACAGCAGCATTGGCATCAAGGAAATGGATTCTCAGGCCTGCAGGGTCCATAGCTGGCAAACTGGCTGAACTGATGTTGCTGCACTGCTGCAGCTCTGTGTCCCCAATGCCACTGAGGACACACATCAGTGCTGCCCAAAACGTGTCACACCAACCCCACCCCCAGCAGGACCAGGCTCCTCTGAAGTGTCTTCCATCAATGCCTTTGGTCATTGCCAGACTTGGACAAAATCTGAGAGGAGATAATTCATGTCCACTTCCTCCCTATTCCTGACGTGCTTCCCAGTTTGGCACAGAGGGACTTACCAGGACTGTGGAAGTCACCTGTTCCCCAGCCATGACATATCCCATGTCCAGCACTCCTTCCACAGAGCAGACAGTGCCTGGCACTACCCCGTGCCCAGAGAGGCTCAGGCTGAGGGTGGAATTGGCCACCCTGATGTCCAGGGTCTCACAGAACTGTCAGGGGGAATGTCTGGGTTATTCCATCTGCTGAAGGAAACTCCCCACCCCTCCAACAGACCCCCTCCCACAAATGGGCCATTACAAACTCCTGGGGTGAGTGCACAGACACTAAACCCAAATGTTGGGAGGGGCAGCAAAGGTTTTCTCATTATTTAGAGTCTCATCCTGGTTGGTAACACGTGAGTTACACACCCCTCATATCTCTCTCCTCCTTCCCCCCATTGCTGTTCTATTTCCTACTCACCCATTTATCCTCCTCTGGACAAAAGGAGATGACCAGGGCTTTGCTTTCGCCTGGCTCAAGCATTCTAACTGCTCTCACCAACAGGAAGGGGCCATTGGGATTCAGGGCTGAGAATCCCAGCTAAAAGGGTGCAACTCAAGGAAAAACATTCATAAAGATTGAGCAAAAATATGTAAGAACAGACTCTACACATTGTTTGTGTGTCTTCAGTCTGAACTAACCATCTCTGAGCTTCTGAGAGATCAGTAACTCAGAGAAGATGAAGCTTCAGTGTCCAACAGGTCCCCTGCAGAGGAAGAGGCAGAGGCTGGATGGCAGGGGGGCTCCATGTCCCACACAAGGATACCCCCACCCTCCCCAGGGAGATGTTCTGCAGGGTGATTCGCTTCATCGTCCTGTGGCCTGTCAGGAATGAAAACAGCTCCAGAAGTGATGATGCTCAGTCCTGCCCTCCCATTCCTCCTCCTCACTCCTGCTCCTCCCCGGGCCAGACACTCGTTCCCTGTCCTTGGCTGAGGCACCAGGCAAAGCTCACCAAAATGCCTTCAAAGTTGTCGAGCTTCCAGTTCCCTGCCTGGGACCAAGGCTGCTGTTTCCTGGGCCTCAGCTGCCCAGACAGGCTCCTCGTTTTCCACCCAAGTGCCCACTAAGGGCTAATTTCTATCCTGACTTCCGAAAACCCAAAACTATGCTCAGAGGACCCTCCTGTCAGACAGAACCCACTCAGCACTGGAATTCAGCCTCCATACCTACGGAAACGTCTCCAAAACCGACCATGTTGTCCCCACTGTCTGAAGTGACCAGAACAGGAGGGGCCACAGCTGGACAGTGCAGCTCCAGGTACAACGTGTTGTAAGGGCTGGAGAGAGAGGAAAGGGAGCCAGGGAGTAAAAGGGCAGAGCTCTTGGATGGCTGAGAAATAAGAACTACTGCCAGAAATCAGCTCATCTCCCAGACTGTGACTGCAGGGCTGTGACAGCACCACACGTGACTCCTGGTGCTCCCTCTGTGCCCAAGCAGAGCCATGAACTATCTGGCTCCAAGTTCTCACACAATTATTCTTTGAGCTGCTTTGATATTTGTGTCTTTGATTCTTATCCAACTGGTGGGCTGTGAGCACGAGCTTCTACCGCTGAGCTATGAAGTCATCAAGATCAGAAAACAAACTTCTCCCCCAAGGGAATAAATCACCACCATTTCCCCCCAGCACTTCTGGACTATCAGTTGCAATACCTGCAGCTCAGGTGTCCAGAGCCCTTCTCTCCAGCAGCCTGTCCACTTGCAACAAAGCAGGGAATGATGTATTTCTTAAAACTCCCACTGAAACTCCTCATCAGGGAGGCCTGGGCTGCCCTGTAAGCATCAGAACTAGAGAATCCAGGAATAAGAATCATCTCAGTGAGTGAGAGAGCAAGCAAAACATCAAATAAATATCTACTGAGCTGTTTGTTGATTATTGTTTCTTAGTCACACATTCAAAATTGGATGTAACAGTGAAACCAAATGACTGTCAGTAATGGACCCACCCTACAAAGTGGTTGGCTTTTGTTGCCAAAAGAGAATAAAAACTATAAACCCAGATAGCAGATGTTATGCTAAAGACTGTAAAATCCTCAATACAGTTTCCTTTGCTCGAATACATCAAGTATTCCAGTGTCTTCCAGTCCTTCTACGTCACCTCAATGATGTGGAAACACACAGGATCACATCCCTCTAGTCCAATGTCTATCCCTCTAGTCCAATATGTGAGCAATACTTTAAAATAGGAATTTTCTTTTATGACCTCTACTGAAAGTATTTAAAAACTATAATTATTGGATTGCAATCAACATGGGATTTTAGTCAAAAATATCAATACATCCAGTACAGCCAAATCCCTGGTGCTTCAGTATGTATTTACTTCCAAATTCCTCAGATTAGGCAGAAATGTGGCTCTGAGAAGTTGAATTATTTGCTGAACCAGGGACTTCAAGTATCAGATTTTGCATCTAGGAACCCAAATTTGCAGGCAGCACATGCTGCCAGTGCTGACTGAGGTGCACACCCTGGACAGTGACTGTCCCACAGCACACTTCCCTGCAGCCTTTCCCTGATGAAGATGACTGTGACTGATGGCACAGGCTCTGCAAACCCTCCAGTCAAACCCAGCAGTGCTCCACGCTGTGCATTTGGGCCATCAGATGGTTCTGTGAGGTCTGTTCACAGAGGGTGTAGTGGTGGCAGTTTCTGTGGGTCACTCAGTCCAGCTCTGCAGTTGCCCTTTAAATAAACCCTGGTAGGCTCAGCCCGATCCACGCTCAGCCCCAGCTCCTGCTCCCTGACAGATTCTTTGAAGTCTTCAATCCTTCTGATGCATAAAGGGATTCTTTGCCTCACATGAGAGGGTACAGCTGTGTGGCTCTCAAGCAGCACTAATTTTGGAAACAGCCTCTGCAACACAGCTAAAGCTGCTCCCTCTCCAGTTTGCTTTCTTGTCTACCTACAGTTTTAGTAGATTTATTAAACTACTTATAAAGAGAATGTTGTCTGTGTAGTACAAGATGCTTTTGCTGACTTACTCAGGCTTTAACTCTTCAGGTTTTGGCTCTCCAGTCAGGCTTTTCCTGCCTCCATTATTCTCAGGCTGTTTGGGAATGGAAATGCTCAATTTCTTTCCCTCTCTCTTTCCATTTTTCTTTTCTTTGTCCAACAGACCCTGAGGGTCACCACTGGGAATCTGCCCAAGACACGAGTTAACAAAGACACAGCCCAAGGCCACAGAGCCAAGGAGGTGACAGAGGGCACAGAACAAGGGACAGCAGGACTATGGTGACAGCCCACAGACATAGCAGATTTACAGACATTTCCAATAATGTAAAATTAAGTTAAAATGGACATATTTTACCCCTTCTCAAGAGAGGAGTTCTGTATCTTATGGGAATTTTACCCGTTTATCTCATAACTAAAGACAACCACAGGGGGTCACATATGAACTGACCCCAGGGTTGCACATAAAGCCCCAGGATGCTGTAAATCTGCAAGCAGTCTAGAAGCCTTTTTTTTTTTTTTTTTAAAGAGTACTGCAGTTGGCATTTGCCATAAAATCCTCTAGGAATGCTTTGGAAATGGTTAGCAGGAAATTAAATTGCTGCCCAGTGACCTGGCTGCACGTTCAGTGCCACAGCACAGTCCCACCCTCATCCTCTGCAGGCAGGTCCTGCCCGGACCTCGAGCTTGGGCCTCATTAATATGCAAATAATTTTATGATAAAAATATCACCCAGAGAAACAAATCTCTGGAAGTGCCAGACCAGCAGCATGTGCTGTTCTTAGCATTCCTTACTTGAATTCCTGCCTCTGGCACAGCTGCTCTGCTCAGCCTCCGAGCTGCCTCCTCCCTGACGAGCTGCTCCGGCAGCGCGGGGCTGAAGGACACTCGGATGGAGCTTTTCTGGGAATGGAAGAGCACAGCAGGGGTGGTGGGCACAGCTCAGCCCTCATGACAGAGCCCCAGGGAGCACACACACACAGCACAACAGTCACACACAAAATACACTCTTCCCCCAGGTGAATCAGAGGACCCTTGGGATCAGGTCATTGACAGCTTTTTTGGGAGTCCAGGATGTCACAGTGGGCTGGGTTTACACGACCAGTACTTTTGATATTTAAACATTCTTCAAATAAATCCCAGTGACAAGACTGGGGAAATGTGAACACTCCCATAAGGCATTAGCCAGATTTGGTGGTTCACCCTCAGGCCTGATTTAAAACATTATTTCAAACAATACCAAATATTCCAGCTCTTCTAATAATAATTCACATTTTGAGCTTCATTTACGAGTGACAGCCTTTGTGGAGATGTGACGATCAAAGATTTGGCAGAACACTTGACATTTAAAGTGAATTTACCTGCCCAGGCAGCACAGTTCCCACAGAAGGTGTAATTGTCACGGGACAATCCTCTGGCACGTGGAATTCAAAGGAAGTGGGTCCAACTGGGGCAGGTTCCCCCGTGCCAATCCGAGGGACAGCGTGGATGAGGCTGTTCCCACTCACGTGGGGATTCAGCACGTCCAGGGTGGCTTCAGACACAGAGTTCAGAGCTGTTGCAGCAAACTGAACCAAGGAATGAGACAATTCAAGAGGTGGGTGGACTCCAACTGCTTTGCATGACAGCTTGAATTGTCTAAAAATAAACACATGATAAATTGTCTCAGCATAAAATAGTGTCTTAATCAGCCCGGAAAATAGGGAGCTAATCCTGTAGTCCCTATTTAAGCAGAATTTCAAGCTTGCAATGGGAATTTTGCCTAAAGATGAACAATAATACTATCTATTTTTAATGCACAATTGGCCAGAGTCCCTGCTTGAATTCTTCCTCTGTGAACTTCTGGAAACACATCCAGTCAAATCAAAGTTTATGCCATCATTATTGCAGCAGCATGAGCTTAATGCATGAAGCATTTGTACAAAACAGAATTCCTTCAGTGGTTCTGCAGGTTGGGCTGACCTGGGAGCTTGGAAATTGGACAAGGATAAACTTGAGGAGGGGTAGGGAAAGTCACCTCAGTAAAGACAAATGTGTCAGCCAAGGGTGAAACCAATGGCACCGAGCAACTCTTGTCAACTGGAGAATTCCCACTGGCCTCAAGTGCTTATCCCAGACTTTCCTCCTCAGAGCAGGCAGGGCTCTAATTTCTGGAGCAGCTTAACAGTGGAAGTCCGTTGTGATTTAGGTTTCCACATCACCTGTATTCAGTCTCTTCACATACCTGTTAATCTCTGTCGTGCAGGTGAGGTCAAAGCTGTACTCTTTTGCCTTGGTAGCTTTAAAGATTATGTCCAATGTCAGGCTCTCCAGGGGAAGAATAACTCCAAATCCATCGTTGGGTTGAACTTCAACAAACTTCAAAATGGCAGAATAAGAAGTTATTAGTTAAATTATCAGTTTATTAATAAATTAAAATGAGACATTAGTGGTAAGATTAAGAAAATTTTGTTATTATATGTGGGAGTGTCAAGAAAAGAGAAACCTTCTAGAGAGAAGCTTTGATCTGAGTTCCTGATGAGTCTGATTGAAATGCAGATTTCTCATCTCAGTAACTCAAAAGGGATTAAATCCATTAACTCAGACTTCAGGAGAATCCCTTCCCCAGCTTCTTCCCATCTATGGTAATCACCCTTCTCTAATGTTTATTTACTCTTCATAGACAACTGAATGAAATCTGATAAAAATCTCAGCAGTTCCCCCTGTCTTTGAGAGCTGATCCCTGTTTGAGGAGCAGATTCCCCAGTGACAGGGCCAGTTTAATTCCCACACTTGTACAGTGGTTTGTGTTTGAGTTGATGATGATTCAAGAATGTCTCCCCATCACACTTTAAGCTCACCAGGAAACACACACTGTGAAAGAAAGCTTTCACAGAGCTGAAGTTAACAATTTCCTTCAGCTCCCTCCTTGATTTTAATCCCTAAACCAGCAGAGAACAGGAGAATGCCTAATTAAATGTCAGGTTCCTCTAACTCTGATGCCAATGTGCCAAACCATTTCACACTGTGATCATCCTGCTATTATGGAGCTTGAACAGCCAACTTTGTGCAAAAAATACTTCAGCAGACCCAGCCCACACGAACTCAGCAGCTCCTGTGATTAATTTGGCTTCCACATCCACTTACAGTCAGTCAGAAAGTGCCCAGCAGTGGCTCAGGATTGTTCCCAAGGGGCGGTCTGGGCATGGCTTTAAAGCCATCCTGCTTTAAAGACAAAGCCTTTGGGCATTTGGGTGCCAGTTGGGCACATTCCTCAGCCTCAAGGGCACAGCCACATCCCCAGGCCTGTTTTACACGTGCCCCGTGAGCACCAGGTGCTCTGTTAGGAGCCTTCTTGGTGTGAAACACCAGGTGTTCTAGTAAAGGAACAGTCAAACCTCCTCCCAGTGTTTACACTGCTTGGGAAAGGCAGGGGGTGTAACACAGTGAGATTCACCCAAACCAGCCCAGAACCAGCCCAGGGGCTTCCACTGTGTTTGCACCCACCAGTCCTGATTTATTTACTCTCCCATTGACACATTGCCAGGATCCTGAAATCTCTCTGACAGCAGAGGAGGAGTGTGTGGGATAACCACGTACCTCTGGCAGCCCCACAAATCCAAACTCCTGTGGCAAGAGGCATTTGTTTGTCACTGTGACATTTGCCTGAACAGCTTCATAGATGGTGCAGTGCCCAAAGTTGATCTCTGCTGGGCTGATTTCCAGATCAGAAGTAGAGACAATGGCATGGACAGTAAAATTGACTGTTCTAGCCTGAAACAAATGCAAGAGAACAAGATGAAAACCTCCACCTGTGGGGTGTAAGGACAGGATTTAAGTGAAATGTCATCCAAAAGGATAACTGCAAAACAGTTCTTCTGCTCTGTTCCTTGCCAGTGCCATGTGAGAGGAGCACTGACTAGGCAGGATTTGACTTTCTGTGTTGCAACCACGTGACAAGAAGCCACTATCAAATCTCTGTTAGCACTTTGAGCATCTTTTACTGTTATCAAACTTCAAGTAGTAAAGAACCAATGTAAGGTTAGGGAGGGTTAAGTGACCCTTCACTAGAATAATTGACATTCACTACCAGTCTAATAAGGAGCAGCACAAACAGCACCTTGTCCATGATCACTATTGTCACTGGGACCTCCAGGATTCTTGTCTCTGCATTGAAATAGTTCCCTGCATCTTCAGGAAGAGACTGCCTGAAAACCCAAAAGTACAGTCAGTGTCATTAAAATATTGTGCTTATTTTCTCACTAAGGGGAATAAGAAACTTTTGATGGATTATTTCTCAACAGAAAGAAAAACAAACCCAAACCTGTTACTTAAGGTCTAAAAGTTTTATTATTTACAATTTTTAATCTTAGCTTAATCTTAATTTAATCCTCCTCAAATCCTCCTGTGTAGGGAAGTCTAATTAAAATCTTGCATGGAAGATATGTGCAAGCATTAAAGAAAATGAAAGAAGAATGGCAGGAGAAAATTCCAATCAAAAGTTAGTGACCTCTGAAGTCCCACCTTCTGACCAAGACAATGAGGATGCAGTCAGATCAGGAATGTTCTGGACTTGTCCCAGATTTCCTACAGACTGGCACCCACTCTGAGCAGGAGTGCAGGGGCTGAAAAGTGGCTGCCAGGGACATCAGATGGATTGACCTTGTACAGTAACACTGGGGGTTTTTGATTTTAAAGACAGGATTTTGGACATACAGGATTTTAAGGGAGGTCACTGAGGTCAGCATCCATTTATCCTTTTTTTTAAAAAAGCCATCCAGTCATTTAAAATTCTGAAAAATTAAAAGCTTACTCTCTAATCAGAATATAAAGCCTCAGCATCTTTGCTGCAGGCTCAGGGTGTGCCCAGCCCAAGCAGGCAGGGTTTCCTGTGGACACTGCTGCCAGTGACCAGCCTGGCTGAGGCACAGCCCCTTGTACAGCCCAGAGAAATAAAGGGAGCTCATTTGGAGCCCAGCAGAGCCTGGTTACAGAGCAGAGCAGGAGTTTCTAAGGAACATGCAGGTTTTCTGTAGGTGAAGCATCTTGCTCTCACAAGCTCCATTTCAGAGCTCCAAGCCAAGACAATACAAACCTGGGGCATTTTTAGCTCTGCTGCTCTATTTATAGTGACTCACAGCACCAGAGTGAGTTGTTTCCTGTTCTTGGGTCTCTACAGTGCTCATGTTCTACTACTACTCATGGAATTACATGCAATTCTTTGATGTATTGTTAAAGAATAGGTAATGAATAAAAATAACACCCACTCATCACCATGGTGATCCAAAATCTCGCTGCTGTTATTTTGCAATAAGGCTGATGTTCAAAGGTATTGGTAACTTCTTTACAGCACCAGCTTCCACTTTGTCACGGGGCATTGGAAGAGCAGGAGAAATTATTCTATTTCAAAATAATCCAGAGGGGGGAGAATAATTGTGACTGTATGGACACAGGAGTGGACTCTCAATTAGCTGCTGTGCCCCGGGGAAAAGGGCCTGGAATCCTTCAGACAGTTCTCTGAAATGGCATGGAATTTGCCTAAACAATGCTGGCTTCAAACCCCCAGAGAGGTGAGTATTGGAACACCTGCCTGAGCAGGTCCATGTGCACAGAACACTGGGGAGAACTTCCCAAGCCTCCAGCCAGCTGTGTGCTGCTGGCACTGCTGAGTGGGGGTTTCTCTCTACTTTGGTGTCACTTTTAATGCAGCTGTTCTATTAATAGAGCTCATAATGCCAAATCACTGAGGAGGCCTCACGGAAATGTGTCACTGGCTCAGTCCTTCCCCAGCTCATCGTGCTCCCCACGCACGCACTTCCTCCCTGCATTAGGTCTTTAACTGATCTGTACCCTCAAACAGCCAGATACTTATTTTGTGTGTCAGAAACGCCTTAATCTCATCAAATCTCCTTTCTGAAGCTTCCCCGTTTTTTAAAGGAAGATTAAGGTTCTAAATCCAAGCTCTGGTTCTATCCACTCCGAGAGGGTAACAGTGCTTAGAGCAGATGAAGTTGAGGAACTCAAATATGTCATCATGTTACAGTTGTTGTAATCTGATGGGATTTGAGATGTTGAGAGAACTGTAAATACTTTTAGTTCTTTGAATACTAACCTGGTGAAAATTTTGAAATCAGTGATTAGACTGTCAATGCAGAACCCAGAAATGCTGAGCACATCAGTGAGAATCCAAAATACATCAATGGGACTGGAAAACCTACATCAAAGCAGCAGCAGGTTTGCAGCAGCAATCACTGCCAAAGCTGCTGAAGTATTTGGCTGTACACCAGAATTAATTCCATTTTTCATTTAAATTTCTATGTGAAAAGAAATGTCCCACTAAATTCTTTAGGATGGCAATGATGAGGTAAATAAAATTAAAAGTGGTTAACAAAAGCTCTTGTCTTTAAATTTTTAAAAACTGGAATTCCTTGTTTCCTACCACTGAGTTATGTCTGTGTATGTAGATGTACCATGAAATGGAGAAGAAAAACTTGCTGGGATAAAGCTTTTAGCATTAGGAGATGTTACATAAAACGTCACGTGAAATTCAAGATCAATACCTTCATCTTTTGGAGTAAAATGTGCATGGGGAGGAGAGAGATGGACAGGAAGCCCAACCATTCTTACCTTAATTAGCAAGCACGGGAGTTGTTGTCCAGAAATTATTTAACCAGTGATCCATGAAGCAGCCACCTGCCTCAGTAAGCTCTCTCCTGGCTCAGAATAACTTCCCACAGAAACGGGAGCAGCCCACCAGGAATGCGACTGCTCCGCTTCTCCCACTGCCGCCCCCCAGGGAAGGCATTGCCTCACAGTTTGGGAGCCAAGCTCATTTCCTCCCGGAGCATCTGGCAGCTTTTGGGGGCAGAGAGGGGGGAGCCCAGGCCTGCAGTGACCCAGCAGTGGGAGTCCAGCCTGCTCAGGGGGAAGGGACAGCAACTCTGCCCAGCTTTGCCACCGGCACCATCTGAAACCCGGGAAGGTTCCTGTTGGGGTTGGGGTTGGTTACCTGGGCAGGAACTTGAGCTGTGCACTGAAGGCTGACTGAGCCTGGATGTAGCCTGTCCTTGGGAGCAGCTCCAGGTGCTTGCTCAGTTCTTTGCACACTTCAAACTTGAAACGCAGCGTGGTGCTTGCTCTGCAAACGGATCACACGTGCCTGGGTGGCTCTGGGGCCACCTCAGCAACACCCCCTGCACCTCCACACTGTGATCAGAACAATCCCAAGATCCCTTTCAAAATGAAGGGCATGGAAAACTGCTTCAGCAAGTTCACATAGTCGTGTTTCTCTTTTAAGTAGGGAAAACAAGATTTGGGAAGTACTGTAACAAAGCCAGCTGTACTGCAAACAGCACACACAGCTGATCCAAACTGAACCATCACAGCTCAGCACAGTGGTAACTCAGGTCAGGGGGGAGTCAAAGCCAAGTTACTGTGAAATATCAGCTAATTATTTGCTCCTAACACACACTAGCTCTATCTGGATCAATAGGATGACTGGAACCCTGGTGACTTCTTTAAACAGATGCGAATTCACGGATCTCTTGTAACCTCTCCTTTAACAGCAGAGATCCTGAAGAGCTGGAAGTCACAGCATGGCTGAGCTGGTCCTGCCAGCTCCTCTGCTAAACCTGGGGATCAATTTGCCCCAGCAGTGGCACACTGGAAGCAGGAAACCTCTCCCTGTTTCCTGAATCGTGGCTCTCTCCCAGCCCAGCGACAGCCACGGCCCAGCCCCTGTTTGGAATTTGATGCCTAAGTGCAAAATTGCCGAGCAATTTACAAATATTCCAGCCTGTCATTCTCCTTCCCTGGACTGCTTTCCAAGCTGTCAGGCCAGATGGTCTCCTCTAAATCAACAGCTCCAGCATGTGGGACTGGGAGCCTGCAATGATTTCTGACTGTTGACAATCTAAGAGAATTATATACTACTTCATTAAATCAGTGCAGATTATAACCTGCCGAAGAAATTACTTTTCAAAGTGATTTCTATTGAACAGGATTCTGATAAGATACTTTCACCCTTTGTGCTGCTTGACTACTGGGGTCTGTATGACCAGAGAAAAAAAGCCCCAAAAACCCAGAACAAACCCAGTATTAACAAATAATTTGCAATCCACCAGAGCTTGCTGGGGCACTCCAGTGCCAGAGGTATCTGAGTCCCTTGAAAACTTCATCTTCCACTTCTGCCATGGATGACAACGTCACAGACAGTGAGATCCAGGCAGGAACCTCCTCCTGGTGCCACAGCAAAGTGTCAACAGCTACGAGAGGGAGGAACTGCTCAGGCCCAACAGAATGATGAAATCTGCCCACTTTTGCAGGATAAAAAGTTGATCCATGACATTCCTGCACATGAAGTGCATGGAATTTCATCCCAGCTGACTGTACAACAGACAGTGTTATACACACACTGTTTGTGTGACTGTACAACAGTCTTTCCTAATGAGGGAGAACTGGGTGATAAATCAAAGCCTTGACTTGCCAAGGTGCCCAGGACAGGATACTACATATTAAATGCTCTTCATTTAGTGAAACTTGGCATAGGATCAGCAGGATTTTTGCCTCAGTTAAGAAGTTTTGCCCTAAGCAATTTGACAGCTTCTATCTTTGGGATCCCCTTGAAATCTTTGGTTTTATTAGGAGAGTTATTCTGCTTCTACACTTATAAGTTTTATCCCTGGGTTATCTAGACCAAGTAAAATCACTTACATAACAACTTGTGCTTGTCATATCTGTAAGCTGAATTTCTGAGATAACAGCTTTACTCATTTCTTTCCAACTGTGAAGAATCTCTGCAGTCTGTAATTCTGGTAAGAGGTTTAGCATGGATGCCTTCCACAGAACCAATCTCTCCCTCACCCTCCCACAAACCCACCCCAAGCCTATTGAAATAGACTCTAAGAAATGCAAATTGTTAAAATAAGAATTCCACAGTGACTGTGCTGGGCTGGGGGAAGACACCCAGCACCTGAAGACAAAGAAATGTTCATGTAACCACTCTAATAATCTCTGGAAGCCAAGGAGCTGGAACATTCTCTTTGTATCACAGTGCAAACAGAACCAGTCCTCAGACATGACTGGCTTAGGCTCAGAGACACCCAGATATTTTCCCCCTGTAAGGCAGTATTTGGTTGCTGTCTAACCAGAGGTTCTGTCAGTCCAGTGCACTGCTGAAGGCCTGTAGGGGTCAGGAAAAGCTGAACCCTTCCCATTTTAGAGTAAATGCAAAAGGACTGACATGATTTATCCAACACTGTATCCCAAGCCTGGAAAGACTCTCAGTCTCCTAAGGCTCTCAGGGACTTTAATTAAGGATAAAATAGCTGAGAAACAACAAAATAGTATTTTATAAAATTTCCTGACTGACTCAATTATACCCAAAGTGCACTTAGTTTTAGACACATTTATCTCCCTAATGTTTAGGGAGCAAATTCCACGTGATGGGACTGTGGGGCTGCAATTCCCTGGGGACTTCACAGCTACACCACAGAACAGGAACAACACAGGGAATCTTACAGGGGTGGGAAGGTGTGTATTGACTCCATAGCTATGGCTGGTCTCGGGAACCTGGGATAGCAGGACAGCAAAGTGCAATCTCCAGCAGTGTGGGACTCAGAGGGCTGTGCCCCTGGAATGCCAAGGCCATGCCAAGGCACTCACCTGCTCCGCAGGGTCACACAGTCCTGGTACAGCCGGTCGTACAGGCAGATCTTGAGGTCCACGTCGGGGTTGGGCACCCAGAGGGGCACGTCCACAGACACCCCCACGGCACTGAAGCACAGCTGGCAGGGCACAGACCACAGTGGGGTTAGTTCTGGGAGCCCCAGATCCTCACTGACCTACCCAGAGCTGCAAACTGCAGCTGAGCAAAATACTCCATTAGTCATATTCCAACAGGTTCTTTAATGAGGCACATCTACAGAAATCATCTGTAAAGGAAACCTCAGATGGGAGGGTGTCCAGCAGGAAAAAGAAATTATAGTTTGGTTTGGACTCTTTGATAAAGAACATGAAGGAAGAGCATCTGCCCCTGACACTGAAATGTTTGCAGTGCATTTAGCTGGAATGAACTGGCCATGATCCAGCACCCCTGGGACTGCAGCTCCTTCAGCCAGCAAAGCAGTGCAGTGACAGCAGCACAGGGCTGGGCTTCCTGAGTGCCCACAGAGCCCAGACCTGCACAACGTGAGCCTGCAGGAGAAGGTGCCCACGGGAGCCTCAGCAGGAATCTGCAGCTCCTTCTGCAGACTGAGGGGAGAGCCAAGACTGGCTACTGAGCTACTGGGAAGTTTGTCTTTATTTTTTGGCAAGCTTCTGTGAACTGTTCCAAGCAGAATTTGGCTTCCAATGAAACTTAGAATCAAAATATACTGAAGTGGTAACTAAAGTTGTCATCTCTTCCAGCTTTCACACATCAGCTTCACTACTGCCTGCTAAATAATTCCAATTCTGATATACCAGAAAGAAAATAAACTACATGTATTGGGAATAGGGGAGAACACTTCCACAGTTGTTTCCAGGACGTGAAGTGTTTTTCATTATGATGTCTGATAAAATGGGAATATCAGGATTATTTGCATAGAAATTTAAGAAATGAGGAGGTATCAGGAGCATCCTGCATCAGAAAGAAGGGTAGGATTTACAAAGTTACCTCCCATCAAACTACATATTACATAATTCCTGGGAAAATCAGAAGATTTCCAACTCTTTTCACACAGTGTTTTGAAGCAAGTCTTTCACAAAATCACTCACTGGTTTGCAGTCTGGGTTGTCAAACATGATCACAAACTCTGCCCTCACGTCCCCAGGGACAGCTGGGACAAACAGCACCGGGACTTGCACCGAGCTGAAGGGTCCAACCTCCCCCTCAGTGACCTGAACAACAAGGACATGCCTTCAATGAACATGGAGAAATGGCATTGAAACAAAGAGGCTGTGCATGCTCACACTATACACACACCTTCCTACAGCCAGTTTGTAACTAAACTGAACACACTGTGCACAGAAAACAGAAGACTGTGTAATATGGCTCAGATCTGACCTTTCCCAGACATTCCTCCTGCCCCATCTTGTGTGCTGTCACCACACTTGGTTTAACCACAGAACCACACAGCAGCAAACCAGAGTTAAATTGTGGGAAATGTAGAAGTAAACAGGATCTTTCAGCTCAAAGAAGTCTTTACAGATCCAAAGCAAGGGGAAATGTGTCCTGTGATTTCACTGTAAAAATTCACTGTGATGGAGTGAGGTCCAATGGGCTTGAAATGACCATGACCTTCAGCATTTCTCACCAGAGCAACTTATCTGATGGAGGCTTAGACTTAGTGAAATCTTGTCTGGGTCTCAGGACATCCATTACCTTTCCAAGCATAATTTCAACTGGTGTTTCTTCAGGAGAAAGCTCCACTGAATCCCGTGCGTTGTCTGTGTCCAGGTCTGATCTCATACTCAACACTTCTTGATCAAGTTGTTCTGGGGGGAAAATAAAACAAACACAAAACACAACAAAATGCTGGATGTTTGCATCAATTCACTAATAAAATATCCAACAGAGCAGAAGTACATTCCTTGGGGTCAATACTGCAAATCCAGGATTGTACAGCAGTGATGGGGAAACTGGAATGTCTAGAAGGAAATGTCTGCTTGGCCATCCAGCTTTAGTCTAGTCTGGAATTCCACCTGAGGGACCTGGACCTTTCATTACAGAACAACTGTTAACGTTTCCAGAAATGCAAAATCAGCTGGAAGTGTGAACTGGCTTCAAGAGCAGTTTTAGTGGGACAAAGCAATGCAGCCAGGAGGACCTCAAGAAACCACCCACAACCTTTGCATGGAACTTTTGGCTTCCTGAAATTGGAATGCTCAATATTGGGAAGAAATGTTAAAGAACAGAGATAATAAAGAAATTAAGAATGTCTTTCTTCTACAAGATTGGATTTTATTAAGCACATAGTAAACATTAGGAATGAGATGGAAAATGTCTGAGGAGGTTCATCTTTCTGCTTCCTTGTTCCTAGAATTACAGACTGTAAAAATAAACCTGTCATGTGGATTGCTATTCTGAGAAGTGGGGATTCAGTTGCTGAGACAAGGATGATGTTAACAATTTTGCAATTTCTGAGGCTGGTTGGGTTCTGTGTTCTGGGACTGAATTCTTGATCACTAATGAGAAGTGAGGATCTCTGCTGCTTTTGATATAATGGTGTCAGAACATTATTTTTAGTCATCTTCTGTGAGGGAACACACAAAGAGATATAACATTACTACCAGAATGATGAACTACTTATTTACTGAGTAACTTTGCAAACGGAATTGCAGAGTTCATTCCAGGAAACTGCAGATGGACAATGCCTGGCCTGGGAAGCTGCAGGGCCAGTGTCCCAAAGCAGTCCCCTCACCCGTGGCACTGCTGCTCTGGGGTCCCTGTGGCTCCTGGGCTGCACAGGGGGTCACCTCCTCGCCGGGCTCAGCACAAATCTGGACCTGCTTTCCCAGCCCAGCTGTCCCAGGACTGCTGCTCCCCTCCTCTTCAGGGTCACAGCCACTGGAATGTCGAGGGACCTATTGGAAAACACATATTTTCTCCTGTGGTTGCACCAGCTCCAATTTAACAAGCTGTTGAAAGTCAGACTTGTTCTTTCTTGCAACTGTTGCATGTTATAGATGGAGAAATATGCTGCACTTTCCAAGAACTGCACATTCTTTTAGAGCTTTATCAATGAACAGATTTGATTTTTGCTGGCTGCCCCAAGCAGGTAAATAGCATAACAGGAGCAATACAATACACTGTCAGTTATTTTGCAAATGACAGAACCAACATTTTTCCAGTGGAAACACAGGCAGTTCTATGTCAAAACTAAGTCTGCTGAAACTAGACTTCTCCTTATCACACCCCTTACTTTATTGCTAGTTTTGCACCAGTCAGCATTTTTCTGAAGCCCAGGAGCTGGGATTTTTAACTACTTTGTCAGAATCTCCTTTTAACTATTTTTTCATAATTGTTATGAATGTGGAGAAAATAGGAACCATGCCAAAAATGCATGGTGGTTTCCCCTCTCCTCACAAAATAATGGTTTTTAATTTTATCTTCTGATATTTGGGTCTAACAGCCTACATTTGTACCAACCCAAACAGTTGGGCCAGATGATTTTCCGAGTCCCTTCCGGCCTGAGCTGCTCTGTGACCCTGTGCAGCTCCACCACACCCCACAAAGCACTTTCTGCTCATTTAGGAAATGTTTTTGAACCCACCATCCTTCCAGGGGCAGGTTTTACTGTCGCTCCGTGTGTGCTCCTGTCACCTGCTGACGCCTGAACTTTGAATCCCGTTCCCAGAGCTCCGCTGTTTGTCAGGCTGATGGCCCGGGAAATCGTCTCTCCCACCACGTGGCTGCCGAAGTCAATGAGCTCTTTATCCAGAGCCAGCTGTGAGAAGATAAACCGTTAATTACTCCTGTCCTACATAGCCAGGAATGTCAATTAAACGAGCATCCGCCTTTTCTGATAATAATTATATTATCCACAGGCTTCCAAGAGTCACTCACAACGCAGCTCTTGACTGTACATTGCAGTGGGACAGAAAAGGAACCTGTCTGTGCCACAAACATGACTTCTCCTGCCAGACTTTCATTTATCTAGAAAACAACAACAAAAAAACCCCATAAGTAATTTCCAAAGGTTTAGCCTATGTAGTGGGATGAAAAGCATTTTCATTTGTTCTTTGAGTACCATATTAAAATGTATTTTTACTGATTCTACATTCCCAGTGTAAAACAGCCTTTGGTAACAGCCTGGATAACTTGATTGTAACTATTTAGAAATCTACCCTCAGAATATGCCATATTTCAACTTATCAATGCACACAGTTGTCCATGGACAACAGGATGCAGCTTGTTTCCTTGTTAACAGTTAGGAACTTCAATTAATGATGTTTTTAATCAGTGGGTAACAGTAGGATTCTTCTCACTGTGCACTTACCATTGGCTTGAATGTTACCACAAATTCACAGGACATTCCAGAAGACATTTTGCCAGGTGGATCAAAACTATGGAGATAATGAACATAAAACTCCAAATTAAAGCTGTGTATCAAACCTCCAGCTCCTGCCCTGGTAACAATGGCAGGTATTTTTTATTTTTTCCCCTCCCTCACTTGGACTAATTATCACAAAAGTCAGAATGAGTGACAGGTTAAGGGAGGGCTACAGAACCCTGCTGCAACTGTGAAACTTCCTTTTGTTTATTTATAAACAGTGAGATAAAATTATCAATGTAGTTAAACTGAGATTAATTTGCAATCTCCCAAGCAGAGACAGTGCTTCATTACATAACCTGTCAGCAGGATTACAGGAATAGATTGATGGGAAAGACCACAAGACTGCAATTCCGGTGCTCTGTGCTCCCAGATTGGTTTCCTTTATTTCCTCAGCTTTTTTCCCTCCCTTTCATGTCCAATTAAACTGTGTTTAACTCAACCCACAAGTTTTACTTTTTCCCCCCAATTCTGTCCCCTGTCCCATGGGAGAGGGGAGTGAGGAGCTGCTCTGTGGAGTTTATCAGGGTTCATCCCCAACAAGCAGGAATTCCTGTTGCTGCAGAATTGGGTTCCAGCTCCTGCTGAGGTACAAAGGGAGAACAAGCAAGGAGTTCACAGTTAATTTACTTACTGAACACTGATGAAGTCCTTGAGGCACTCACTGATCCCCACCAGCCTGCAGTAATTAACACTGTAGGAGGCATTGGTCAAAATTATCTTCTTTTTGTAGGTTTGACCAACATCAAAATCCTTGGAATGCCAAACATAGCAGGTGAATGTCAAAGACATTTCCTCACGTTCATGCTCTAATAGAGTCATTAACAGTTTTGTTAACTAACTGAAATCTTAACTGCATGGGAGCCACCACTTCTTTAAGGACATTATTTTACAGTAATAATACTTTTACAAACAATACACAGGTAACAGTCATGCTGCCCTTTAAAAAACACAGAACACAGTCTGACAAGGGGTTTCATCACCTCCTCACCTTTCTGACAGGATTTAAACTCCCCTGAGGATATATTTTATAATTTAGGCCCAAGTAGTAAAACTAAGTAGTTTATTTAATCTGACTATAACTCTACTATGAGATTGTTAGTGAAAAAGGCAGGTGCTGTTCCAAATTTCACATAAAGACATATTAAAGGCTGCAACAGAATTTTGATCAAGACGCTGGGATATACCTACAGCAGCTCCATGTTTATAATCCCCCAGGGAATGGGCACTGACCTTGAAATGAATGCAGCTGGGCTTGCTGTGGAAAGCACAGCCCTTGTGTTCACGACCAGGCACTGTTTGCTTGGCCAAACTTCCAGTTTGGAATTCCTCCATTTTGTTCTCAGACACCTCTTTTTTCAGTGCCCTGATAGCCAGCTGTGTTGGATCCACCTCTTCCTTGGGTATCTGAGAGGGAACAAGCAGAAGAACCAGCAGGGCTGTGTGTGATCACAGCTCAAAGCAGAAAAGTCTGCAGAAGGAAGCTTTCAGTACCTGGCCAGCCTTTGCCAGGCTCTCTCCAGGTCAAACTCAGTCTCCCAGCTCCTCCAGGAATAACTTAATTTATTCTTTATTCTGTGCTGTAGCTTCTCATCACCCAACACTATGACATGGCAGTATCAGCTTTTCTGCACCTTAAGAGTTTGTTTCCCCTCAACTTCTTAAACAAATACTCAGAAAAAAAACCAGCTGACTTCTCTGGAATGTTGCAGTTCTGGTCCAGGGCTTCTCCAGGCAAGGATAGGAATATATACTGACATGATTTTTTTTCTGACTGATTTTGAAGTTGTTTTAAACTCAAACAATTAAACATCATGTGATGTGTGTCTTCACAGATCTCTGAACTAAGTATTGTTTTCCCTTTTAGACAACAAACTCCTCCAGAATATTGTCAAACAGTAATGACTGATATTCTCACATCTGAATCTCTGCACCTATGTAATAATGTAAAGGCTGCATTTGAACTGCAAAATAGATAATCAGTGTCTCTAAACAAGGTTCTTTTCTATTTGTAACAAGAGATATCACAACATTTACCTTGTGCAAGTCATATTCCTGCCCCCAAAGTCCCGGGAACTCTGGTTCTAAGAGGGTCTTTTCCTTCTCTTTCTCATCATCCCCACTTTCCCAGAGCACATCCTGGGCTGTGTCCTCAGGACTCCCTCCCTCGGGAGCAGTTCCCTCACCAGCCAAGGAAGGAGGTGATGGAGAGAGCCAGGACTCCTGTGAAAGAAGTTTGGAGGATACAGTTAAAAATTACCAGAGAACAGTTACTCCAACAGTTACCAGTTTCTGAGATCTTTTAATACAAAAATGACGGACCTACAAAGCTCAGAGGCCAAAGATCTAAAAATCTGAAGGCAGTTGATTCTTAGCCCTTTGCTTACCTGTGCTGTGGCTCCACCTGCACGTGTGCAGGTCTCCTCCCTGCAGGGCCAGGCTTCCTTTCTCTGCACTGAAGGGTCCTCAACTTTACCCCGAGCCTTAGTTGCCCTAATACGGGACTGACTTTCTTTCTGCTTGTGAAAAGAAGCTTCTTCTTTCAGAATTCGAGATACAATCTCAATTTTTCTTGATTTCTGCAGTTCTCTGAAAGCTCTGTAATCCAATATTGTAAGAAATATTAACCCAACCATGGTTGTTTACTAATAATATTATCTACAGCCCAGTTACTTTTGAGCCTTTGAGCTAAATATCCACGTTGGGTGCAGTGGTCATTTGTGTCAAGACATCAGGTGATTCAGAAGTTATTTATACATTTTTGCACACTAAACATCCTCAACTGCAGTGTTTTAGAAGGCTAATATAGACTTTCAGAGTGTTCAGGAAAGGCAGGAGGACAATTACTCCAGGTATCCATGGAGGGTCACTGAGTTTCCCTCCTGGAGCAGCTGATCTCTGCACTGCTCACACAACACTCACCCAACTTTGGGGCTCTGAACAACAGCCCTAAGCCAGCGCTCAGGTCCTGCAGGACAGACTGTCCAACTGTCCCACACACAGAGGGAGAGGGAGTTCACTCAGAGGTGGTCTGTTTTCAGGATCTGACTGAGCTCCACCACACTCCTGATGAGCCCCAGGAAGCAGCTGACAGTTGGATATGGATATGCCACTTACTGTTCCTCTTTTTCGTGCTTTAGCTGTCGTTTATGGAGGAAAATTTCCTGGACAACATTGCCTCCTTCTGCTAGGATGGCTTCCCTCATTTTCATCTTCTCCTTCTCTGCCTCCAAGGCCTTTGCTTTGTTCAAAACCTGGAGAGTTTGGAGCTTTTCCTGTTAAGTCATACAAACCAGTCACATATTTGATTCACATCATAAAGAATATAAAACAGAGAATCTACTGTTGGTCCCCTTATCCAGGTATAAATTAGTGGTGGGTGTCTCTGAAGCAGAAGCCAATTGTTTTTTATATTCTCTGTAGTCTGTAGGGCTGCTGAGGTGCAGAAAGCTCTGCCTAGGACCAGGTTCCTTCTCTACCCTTCCAGCCTGCCCTTGGAATGCTGCTCAATGAAGGAATGTGAAAAGATACAATTCTAAACAAATCAGGATTAAATTAAGATCATTCCCTCAGATTCTCTAGAACATAAATAGAAGAGCAAAGCAGCATAGCTCAGAAATTCCTAATTTACATTATTGAAATTCTAAAATAACTGTTTTTCTTCCATATGTTTTCTCCATGTGGGGTATTTCTGCACTGGGATCCAAATAACTGGAAATCCTTCTGGCTGAATTTGCAGAGGACTTATTTGTAGTATGCATTATTTTCCAGAGAGTTCCCTTCCCAGAACAACTAGACTGTTGACAGAATAAGCTCCATCAGCAGAACTGCCAAAACCTGCCCGTACAGATCTCCCTCTCCAATAGTTTAACTGGCCCCAGTCTCACGAGGTTTGGTCAGTGATCTGGTCAAAAACCACCCCCCAGCTCTGCCAGGAGAACTGCAGTTCCTTGCACTAACCCCCAGCAGTGTCACAAGGCAGTGACTTCACTGCCATCCCAGCCCAGCAGCAGTACCCTGTTGGAAGTGATGCTGGTTTTCAGGGAAAGCACAGCTTGTATCCTTCTCTCCATATGCTCCTGAGTTTTCTCTTCTTCCTTTGCAATTTTGTCATGAATTCTGTAAGCAAAGTAAGATCTTTCAGGCTGACATCCTGGAAAGCTTCTGGCATTAGAATGTTTAAGCTGACAAGCAGAAATTGCCAGAGTCACCTGCCATTTTTCTGTTTGCTGGGACAGTGGCTGTGGGTGCAGGGGGACAGCCAGAGACTCCCAACAGAGCACCAAGTGCCAACAGGCTTTCAAATAGTTTGCTCAACAGCTTTATTTATTTTTTTTTAAATTTCAATTTCAATGTTCCATGTTATGACATTCACTAGTTGCTAAAATAAAGTAGGAATTTAGGTGTTCACATAACCAATATCTCAACAATTATGTAGTGAACTTTATGCAAGCCCAGCACATGTACCCAACCTAGACACATTAAAAGTTAGAAACATGTGGGCATGAATCAAACCTGGGAGTACTGCAGTTAATATAATGGTAAACTAGAAAAAATTAGTAAGATTGATATATTTGATACATTTGTCAGGAAAAGAAACCTTTTTGTTTGTTCTTCTTAATTATGATCAATTTGCACATGTCATCTAATGAAAAACAAACCAACACAGAAACAGTATAATTGTTTCCATGATTTTGTAATTAAGTCCTAATATTTGTATATTAGGATTTATTTGTATATAAGTAAAAATAAGTAACAAATGTTTCTTTAGTAGCAAAAGAATTCAACGCCTCAGTAATTACATAAACACAAACCTATTAAGAGAACATTTAATTCACCATCAACCAGAGCAGGAATCCAAAGTCAATCCATTTACCTGAGAGCAAGATGCTTTTTCACCACATTTCTGAGGGGATATGGAACAGCAGAGGGCAAGTTTCAAACCTGGATTCTAGTTATACTGCTTCAAACTACTTCAGCTAATGACACACACACACACACACACACATATAAAAAAGTGCTCCAAATGATTATTAACGCCTACAAGTGGTCAGAGCCCTCTGCCTCTCATCAACAAGACAGTCCCTTCCCTCCAGGGAATCTGAAGGCCATACTGGGACAGTGAGTGGGTTTTCTGCTTTGCATGTCCTTTTGTGCCATGTGAGATGTGAATGTTTCCCCACACTGTACCGTGGCACAAGATTTCTGGGTGTAACACAAAATACACCTTTGCAGAAAACCCCTGATTTTTCAACACCTGAAGTACTGTAGAACAGAGAAAGGACAGAAGCCCAACCTTGCTGTGCTTTGCTTTAGGAAGCAGGCTGCTTTCTTGTGGTTCCTTTTGGCATCCTCAAGTATTTTTTTCTTTCTTTCTTCATGTTCTTTCTGGGCTTTCTCCTCTTTTCTGCAAAACACAGGCAAGAGTTGCAGCAGGACTAAACCTTGACTCCAACACAATGACACTTAAGGGAGGGGCTGGGCAGTTTAAGGAAATGAGGACATTAGTCTGCACCCCCCAAATTACAGACAAATTGATAAACTTCACAAAAGCTACAGACAGGCTGACACAGGTGTCTGCTTTCTCTCCAGGAAATCTCAAAGGGCTTGACCATAAGTTCAGAAGGTCCTGGGGGCCAACAGCACTGCAGACACATGCACTTAGTCTGACCTAATAAACTTCATTTCCTTCCACACAAGGCACTCACAGCTCTTGTCAACAAGTTTATTCCCAGAGATCAGAAATCTTTACCTGCAGGACTGCAAGGCCGCGGACAGTTCTTATTTTAACTCCAACTCCTCATTGCTGAACCAACACCCAGCTAAGAAACCCAACAAATCCTCGTGTCTGAATTAGCCCCCGTCAGCCCCCACAGTGTGACCCGGCTCACAACAGCCCAGGAAGGCAGCACAGCCTGGCTGAGAGGCCCTTACTGCTCCCGGGAGCGGCGCTTCCCTTCTGCTTGCAGGGCTGTTCTTTTTTCCTTCCGAATCCGCCCTTCCCTCTGCTCCTGGTAGTGCTTCTGGAGCTGCTCCTCCTCTTGCTGAAGTTTGTCACGGATCACTTCGTATTTTCCCTGCTCGATTTCTATCTGCCACATCTCCATCCTTTTAAAACAAAATGTGAGGTGTTTGCACTGAAATATTGGCACTCTTTCACTTGCTGAAGGTGGTGTGTTGAGTAGGGAAGGCTCTGTGGTGAAAATGAACATCTAGCTGTGTTTTGTTTCATTTTCTTTTTTAAATGCATTGTAAATCAAAGCCTGTTACTGAAAAGCTGTTTCAGACTAAGGCTCATATCTAATAGCACATCCCATTTTAAAGACATCAAAATTACTGGTCAAAAAGAAAAAAGGTAAAAAAATAAACCCCAAGGCTCTATTTCTCACATTTACCCAGAAGAAAACACTAAACCCAAGAAAAATTAGAAAACCAGCTTTTTCTTCAACAGTAAGTAACTTCAGAGACAGGCCATAGCTTTTATCCTTCTATGCTCTGCTGAAGGAATTCAGATATGACAGGGATGACTACATTAATCTGTTCTATGTACTGCTAATCACACAATAAACAAGGCAAGCATTTTACAGCTATTACACAACACTGCAGCAAACACACTGTATCCTGGAACCACTTGGCTAATCCCAGCTAAAAGCTTGTGCCTGTGTTCTTCCTTTGATGGAGTGGCACCTCTGGTACCAAAATACAAACACACTCACCTGTTGCCTTCTGCAAAGGGCAGTTTCCCTCTGTCTTCTACAAGTAAATAATTTATAATGTGTGAACAATCAATTGCAAGCAGCAATATTAGCTCAGCATGAAAATACACAGCACTGCTACAATGTCTTCCTCACATTCAATTCCAGTCCTGTCCTTTATGCCCTATAAAAACACTACAAGGCATAAATTAGAAGTCTTTATGCTCATGCAGGGATCAGTATCACAGACAGGTTTACGTGAGTCCAGCTTATTTTCCATTTAAAATGAGACCTGTTTAGGTCCACGACTGATGCACAACTCCAAATAAAATCAGAACTTCATTTATGTGTGCAAAACTAACTCAGGGCTGAGCCACAGCAAGAAATTTCCTACGGAATGAACCTCCAGGCTCAAAGTTGCTCTCCAGATGCTTTGCCTTGCAGTCAATGACCTCCAATGACGTAGCTCAGTATTTTACAAGCAACTTCTGTATTGATTCACTTGTGAATCCGTTCAATAGCACATGAAGAAGGTAATAAAGATTGACTCCCTTCACACCCCTTTCTCATTCCCTCACTCACTTGTCTTGGTCTAGTTTCAAATCAATTATCAGCTCCGACTCCTTCTCCCTCTCCAGCTCGGAGCGCAGCCGGCGGCTCACGGCCTGCAGGCGGGACAGGGCTGGGCTGGAAACGTGGAGAAGAAACAATCAGAGAGAAATTTCAACTAATAAAGGTTAAAAAAGCATAGCTTGGAAGCTGAGGATTTATGTATTAGAATGCCACTAATTTATACAGTGTCTTATTTAACCTTTCAGGTGTCCATTCTTCACCCAGAGGCAGAGCTTTCTTTATGCTCTCACACATTGGTTGAAAAGACGAGAATTTTTTCTTAGCTTAATGCAACTATTAATTTCTCACACTGATAAAAGTAGCATTACTACTGAAGATGAGCTCAGGTGAATCCAGAGAACCTAGACTGATTTTGCTTTTAAAATGGCATCACAATATTCCATGTAATTGTCTACAATGGCAGCATTCCCACACAGTTATTTTTCTTCTGTACCCAGGAAAACCAACAGACTGTGCTGCAGGATCCACAGTGACCTGACTATATTGAACACAAACTTCCATCCTCTAAATGAAAATTGGACCTTCTACCTGCAATTCTCCTCTAACTCCAGCACTGGGAGTGCTAATGGAAGACAGGATTTCCATTATTGCTAAAACACGATGCCTCTGAGCTTCATAAGCCAGAAATCCATCCAGTCTTCCTTCTCCACTAGTCACTTGCTAAATGCAGGAGATTGAGAGAATTGCTTTTTTTTATCTAGGCCTCCCAATGTGACCCATCATAAGGATAAACACTCCACATTGCTTTTCTGGTTTTGCTGGGTTTTGTTCCTGTCTCTGAGATCCCACTTGCACCACCCTGGGAGGCTCATTTGCATTCAGCTCCTCAGTTTTGCTTAAGCAGCTCTCCCATTTTGGCAGTTCACCTGCCTTTCTCTCTCTCTCCCTCAGGGAAGCACTAACCTGGAGATCAGCACAGGTTATAAATGCAGCTGCGAAGTTTGGTCACAATACTCTGGTTCCTGGTACACAAGCCACCCACTGCTTTCTATTTAAACCAAATGTGAAGAGTACAGTAAATTGCCTCCCACTTGAGGGAGCAGCACAAGTGTTTCAGAGCAGCTCCTGTATGCAGAGCTACTCCTGAAAGGCATTCCTGCCTTCCACAACACAATGGGAAAAAAATGGCATATATATAAGTCCGTACATATAGATATATATATCTCTAAATCCTGACTGAATTGTCACCATGACAAGAGAAAAAGCCATGACCAAAGAACTGCCACAGCACCCTGATTCATCAGACTGAATAGAAGATTGAGACCCTGACATACACAGCTGACAGCAGTGGGCTAGGCTGATTTAATACCTGTTGTTATATTTTAAAATATGCCTCTTTCCTACCCATTCCCAAGCTTGCACCTCTTTCTGCACTGGTCTCATTAGCTGCACACAGATGAGCACAGTGGATGCCTGTGATCCCTGGTCTCCAGAAATACTCTCTACCTACACATTGCCAGCCTCCTTCTCTCTCTCTATTTCCATGTCTACACGATCCAGCTGCTTTGCCAGCATCTTGATCCGCAGCTGACAGGCACACAGCTTTTGTCTGCAAGAAACAAACACAGCACTCACATTTTCTAAGTTCTTTACTCTCTCCAATGAAAGTCTTCCTCCTGAGGGCAAGATTCACAGCTAGGATTCCCACAGGATATGGTTTACAGTTCTATAAACTGTAACACTTATTACTGATACAGTATCCCAGTACTTGTCCGTGATTTATGCTGATGGATAATGTTCAGTTAAACACTAACCCGGTTTTTTGGACCACCAGTTTCTTCTCCTTGACCATGTCATCAAGCAATTTTATGTTCCTCTGTACGGCTGCTATGTGAATTCTCTCCTCAGCCAGCAGAGCCCGAGTGTTGCTAATGTCACCCAGAGAGTGCTCCAAGCTTTCCCTTGGAATTCAAACACACAATTAACAACGAAACATAACGAAAAACTGAAAACTTACCTGAGGTTTGTTCCATCCTTGTTTTCTGTTTTATTCTAGCAGAACTGTTACAAATACAACCAGCATAAATAACGAAACACATGAACCCAATCTGCACAAGAAGTTTGCATGCATGCACTTATACCAGGATTTCTAGACTTGGATATCTAATGCTGAACATTTACACCCTCATTTAATACATTAATTATCTGTCTTTGTGTTGAAATGCCTGTGTCTCCTCTTGATTCCAGCTAGGGTTTGCAATTCTAGTGTTCCTGAACAATAGCTTAGAACTTTAATGGGAACATTCTAAAATAGTTTAAAACTTATTTTATACAGCTGGTCAGCCAACACGACAAAGGAAATTCCTGTTAGAACTGGAACAAGGTATTTACGTGCTGGAATCAGACTGGTCTTCAACATCTCCAGAAGTGTCCTTGGTTCCCATCTCGTCACCACCAAACAGCTTTTCTTCCAGCTCATATTCTAACAGATATTGAAACAACAGCTTAATAAAGAGACTGGACTCTAAAATGCAAAGTTTTATACACTTACTGTCAAGTCACACCACGAAGAATCAGAGATGACATTTTATAACATTAAATGTTTATCTTACATGAACTTTATGTTAATGTCAGGATTTTTTGAGTTATCAAAACAAGTCATCATTTTCACCTTCCCAGGGTCCTTCCACATCACTGAACTGACCAGCTGCATTTTCTTCCTCTTCCAGAAATGGTTGAGGAGATATTTGCTGCTCTCCCTCACTGTAAGTGAGCTCATGATCTTCCATGCTGACAGGTCTTTCCAAACAACCAGGCTAAGAAAGAAAAGGATATGTTTAATACATCTAATCTCCACCAACCTGCAATAGCTGTGACTGTCTCCAGAGGCGAAGTCACAGCTCTCAGTAAATACCTAATGCATCTGAAATAACTGGATACAACCACACACCTTCGTGCCAGCCACACTCTGAGTATCAACTTTAATAAATCTCCTGGAGAAAAGAAAGGACACTGCCACTTTTTTTTTTTTAATATAACAATCAGCTCAGTAATAAAACAAACAACCTTCTGAATGTATTTTATCCACTTAGGCTGCCACTTTACCCCAGATGATCTGGGCACGACTCCAACAAACGCTACTTGCTCTCGAGTCTTATGCAGTTCTCTCATGTGAACTAAACTGTTCCCAAATGTTGATACAATTTATTAGAATTAAGTAAATTCTGTATGTCATCTAGAATGAGTTATCACCACATGGCTGAGCACTTCACATCTTACTCACCCAGAGACTCGTACATATGATTAATTTTAACGAAGGTGGCTCAGCTTTGAGTGCATTTATGTAAATCCTTCTGCAGAACTCAAAAAACATAAACTATAGGAGACTATCTATTTCCTCTAGTTAAGGAGCAGAGAAAACACGCGCTGGAGTAAAGGAGCAAACTTACTAAATTATAGGAACTACCTTGAAGCCAAGCAGGACTCTCAGACTGGGTTACGGCCGATTTAAGACGTTGGTGGCACCAAGAAGTGGCACAAACATAAAAATGCAGCAGGGGCCCTGGCGCTCTCGTTGTGAGGCTGCAGCTCCAACTCCAGGATAACAAAGTTTTGGTAGAACCGGGCCGAAATGCCCCGTAGGGCGGAAGGGCCCAGACCCCCCCACAGCCCGGCCCCACAGCCCCGGCCCCACAGCCCCGGCCCCACAGCCCCGGCCCCACAGCCCGGCCCCACAGCCCCGGCCCCACAGCCCCGGCCCCACAGCCCCGGCCCCACAGCCCGGCCCCACAGCCCCGGCCCCACAGCCCGGCCCCACAGCCCCGGCGCTGCCACGGCAACGGCGCCAACCACCGCGCGCGGGGGGGGCCGCGCCCCGAGCGGCTCCCGGGACACCCCCCCGTGCCCGCGGGGTGGTACGGCCCGCGCCGCTGGCCGTGGGTCCGTGTCCGTGGGTCGGTCCGGCCCGGGAATCACTGGGATTTGGGGCAGCTGAGCCTTTCCCTCCTGGATGGATTGTTTTTGTTGATTCTCAGCAGTGTGCGTTAATCAGAGGCGTCCCCACTGACCTTTCACCCCTACGCACGTTTATAAATTTTAAGCAAGTTGGTGGCATTATGATTAAAAGAAATCTTGTGAATTCAGCTGACTTTCTACAATGCAAAGTCCTGTGGATTTGGGGCTGGAGCACACACGTTTTAGAGTACTGAAGGTTTCCAAGTTAATTTGCTGGGTTTCCTTTCCGTTCTATTCCTTGTACTACCTTGATGAAGCCAAGGACCAGTTCAGTGGATCCACAGAGCACATCCCTGTTCCCTCACTCTTGGCACTCCATGACATGCTGGAGAAATCCAGCTATTCAAAGATTCACAGGGATTCAGTTGTGAAAACGCTGGGACATCATCCACACCAAAATACACCCTGATCTGTACATAGAGACAGATGCATTCTCAGATTTATTTAGTTGAAACTGTTCCTTAATTGTAAGCAATATTTCTGTCATTGTTGGAGTTGCTGTGAGAGTAAGGTCTGGTTTTTGATCCCATGCATACAAGAACATGCTGCTAATCTAAGCATTTATTTCCACTGGCACCCACAGCATAGAGTATAAATTACTCACAGTGACCAGTTTTTTGTCCCACACTTATGCTGTAGGTCCTCATTCTTGAGAAATATATGGACATTCTTAGCTCTATAAATGGTGGAATCTTGATTTTATGGCATCTATTCACATTACATAAAACAAATTACATACAGACATTTGCAGGATTAAAGCTACAAGATGTAGGCTAAAAATATGCAGTGATTAACTGTATAGCTCTCTCTGCAGATCTGGAATAGATATAACTGTGTTAACTCTGAACCTGCCAGTTCCCACACTCCCAGAGCTGGGATGCAAAAGATCCAAGCATGGATTTTCCCCTCAAGAAAACTCTCGGAAGAACACCTGGAAATATCACTGATTATCGGTTTCTTGTCATATTTTTATGCAGGGTATTTATTTAGTCCCAGTTCACAACTATTTGGACAATTTTCATAACAACAACAAAAAATGGTCATGATTTTGTGTCAGTTGAATAACTTGTCTCTAGGGAAGGGCAATATAGATTTTTATCTCCCATATAGATGGGAGAAGAGAGAACATATTTAGTTCCTCTGAAGGAAATTATGGCTCCCCAGCCAAGTGTATCCAATTCAAGCCAGTGAACCTAAAGCTTTAAGCTCCAGGAAATGTGCAAAAAGGCTCTGGTTGATGCAACTCTTGTAGGTTTTTAAGGCTCTGACCCCCAGTGATCCATCTCGGAGAAAATGGGTAACAAAGTGAGGAGGAATAAATTAAAACCCTGCCGTTTTCTTACTGTGAGGTTAAATTTAGAGGCATTTGTGTGAAGTTCCTTTGGTGCCACCTCAGGATGAACTGGGAAGGGGGCAGGACTGGGCAGTGCAGTTTGCTGGGTGGCTGCACACTGTGCTCCCACAGAGTTGGCATTTCTCTCCCGAACGTTTCCAAGGTGACAGCAGCTCATATATGGAGCTTTCTGGCTTTTAGGCAGGAAGACATGCCAATAATGGAATCTGCATTTTGGCACTGTGGATCCTATCAATTACATAAGCCAACTTCCCTGCCCCTATGGATCAGTGTTGGACTGTAAACAATGGCAAACACTGATTTGTTGGGCTGTAAACAATGGCAAACATTGATAAGCATCTTCCCAGTGACTCATCCCTACAGATGGATGGACAAGGAATGAGAGGGGCATTTGCTCTCAGAGCATCTCATGGAGGAGTGGCCTGGGATGGCACCAGCTGGGAGTGCACCCCTGAGATCAACTCATCTGGGGTAAGGCAACCATCCCAGAGCTGGAACTAGCCCTGGCTAGTGGGGATTTCATCCCAAATTGGCTGCACAAAGGAAAGAAAAGGAGGGCAGAGTGTCTGGCTGCACTGTGCTTCACGATTATAAAATTATACAGGCTGGGGGAGGAACTGGATGTTCTGCAGAACGTTTGGAGACAGATAAAAACTGGATTCCTTTAGGTGAAAGGAGAATTAATACTGTGGTTCTCCCGATGCTGATAAAACACAGACACACTTGTGTTGGGGCTGTGGGACATTCCCACAGTGCAAGCACAGCACAACCTCCGAAATGAGCTCAGTATTCCTGCCGTGTGATTGCCGCTAATATTCCCAAACCTCATTTATAAAAATAGGCATATGTGTGTAATTTGTATATCTGGAGACATTTGGTGATGTTGCCACAACAGTCTTTCACGAGCTGCTTAGGTGGAATCATGGGAGAGGGAAACTAATTAGCCCTGTGGTACAGTTTTTGCCTCAAAATTATATGTGACAATATGACATCTTTATTTTGCTGGCAGCAAAACCACCTGTTCTATTTAGAAAATAATCTATTAAGAATACCAGGTAATGCAGTGCCACTGCAAAATAAATTGGAATAATGTCCTTCTGATACGGCCCCCAAATCCCGAGGTAATAAATGACTGTGAAAACTTGTTATTTGGCCCAAATGACTGAGCATGTTTCTCCTCAATCCCATCAAATTGTGCCCTCCAATAAATTACTTTATGGTAGCAGCTACAAAGTACAGATGACTGCGATCAGGGAAAAACCTGCTACATGTTCCAGAAGAAAAATACTTGACAGATATTGAAATCTGGGTTTCTGGTTTCAATTATAGTAAAACATGCTTCAAAGCTGTGACCTTTGCTTACTACTTGAATGAGGTAAATACTTCAAAAATTAGTAATTGTTAATAAAGTGATAGTAACAACTAAGGATAATAATGTTTAAATGACATTTACTTGTAAAGTTGTCCAGAGGTGGGTGCAGAACATCAGCTTTTGACAGCCTGAGCCCAGCGTTCAAGGTCAGCTCACAGGAAGGGTATTTCCATAAAAGCTGGTGCCTGCAGACACAGAGATTGGGGAGAGGCAGGAGTTTAGCACAGTGACAAAAAGGCTCAGGAAACATTTAGTATCATGGGCCATCTTTTTAAGACTATTTGACAGTTCCAAGCCAGGAGCTAAAGCTAAAGGAAAGCTTTAATTATTTTCAAGAGGATTAGATGAGAAAGATTTGGGGAGCTTATTTATTTTGTTTTGTTTTGATGTTTTAATAGCAATTTTAATTGTTTCTTAATCTATGTCTTAGCAATTTTAATCTGTCATTCACTGTAAAGAGCTTGGGATACTCTGCTGAAATTGTAGGAAATTAAATATATTGTCGATCATTATTATTATTTCATCCCCTCTCTTCCCTTTGGCAATGTGAGTTGTTTGAGTGGGTGTGCACATATATATGTGTGTATATATATATATACCAGCCTATTTTGTTTAAATATGTATTTGTACACAAAACTAACTAAACCCAAGGCTGAATGTCCTTCTTCTGCATAATGTGGGGGTATAATTAAGGTCAGTATAGATCAAATGTAATTAATTTATCTGAGAGAAGTTCCACATGTATTTTAGGATTGTCATTGTATTTTTACTTGTGTTCATGGTCACGTCTGTGGCAGGGTCTGTCCCTTCAGAGCACATGTTGTTGCCATGATGTGCTCACACCGACACACACACTCACACGTGTGTTCTACACATGTAACACACACAGACACACTGAACAAAGGGGATTTCCTTGCTGGTTTTGCAGATGTATGCTGAAGACATAGAAAACTGTTCTTTTTTACCAGTAAATTAGATGACAGCTGTGTGGCCAGAGGAAAACACCACCAAGGAATTCTCGGCGTACGCAGCCCACTGGAACACCAGCCTTAAAGGTGGGGAAAATGTGAAAAAAAATCTCACCTGAAAGGATCCCAAAAAGTTGTAAATGTGTTCTGTTATACAGAGAGGCAACATGATTCTGTTCTGTGTGTTATCGGGCAAATTCCATTAAAAACCTTTTCGTTTCCTTCCTCAAAAAAAAAAAAAAAAAGGCATTTTTCATGCAACAATCCAACTCCTCGAGTTTAAATTTGTGTCTTTTCCTCCCTAGCTGCAGGGGTGGCTATGGAAATGGGCAGAAGGAGGAAAAGATCAGGACGAAAATAGCCCCCCCATCCTTCTCACACGTTTATGACATGACCTTATATTTGTTGTATTGCATTTGTGTGTGTGCATTGTGTACATTTGTTCTCCTGGGTCCCACAGGGCTGTTATTTCCCCTCACCCCCACCCCTTGGTTGCCACTTGAAATATTGGTACTAAAAAATAATACAGAATTAAGCAGATGAAAAGATAAACCCCACACTTTACCCCCGGTGCCTCCTTTCATTTGCTTAAGGTACCTGCACATTCTTTTTTTTTTTTTTTTACTTTATGAATATAATTTCTCGAAAATGTCTCCTTCGCACGGTTTCCTTCTGTGGGTTGGTTTTAAAATTGTCATTCGAGATTGAACAGCACCAAGAAGCCGAGGAGGCGGAGGAGGAGAGAAGGAAAGAGCGAATATGGAGGAGAAAACGGAGTTTGACCTGCAAGTGCAGCCGAACCCGGGTCCCGAGGAGCCCCCGGAGCAGCGCAGGGGCCGGGAGTTCGCGAGGCACAGGCGGTGGAAGGCGGACGGTGCCAGCCCGGGATGGAGCCGCGCCAGGGCAGTGTCTCAGTGTAGAGAAGCCCCCGAGGAGCCCACGGGCGGCGAGGCAGAAGTCGGTGGCCCCGGGCGTGCCCCTCCCGGTGGTCCCGCGGGCCCGGGACAGCGCGTAAGCGGCGGGGAGGCGGCGGTTTCCCTGAGCACAGCCCCCGGCTCCATTCCCGGTTTCCCGGAGGGATGCTGGAAGCCGGGCTGCAGCTGCGGTGCCCGGGTGCCGCCGGGATGTGCCGGGGGGGCGGCGGGGGGCGGCCGTGCCCGCCGTTCACATGTGGTGGCTCCGCGTCCCCGAGCGCGCCCGGCCCGGCCGCCCCTGCCCTCGGAGCTCCTCCTGCTCCTCCCCGGCACGATGCGCGCAGGACACGAGCGGCTCCGGAGCACTTTGAGTTGCTCCCACCCCGCTCCGTGGGATTAATCCATCCTTTCGGAGGTTATTTTCGGCAGGCAGGCTCGCGGGCGGGCAGGGCGGCCGGAGGAAGAGCCCGCGGCAGGGGAGGGATGCGGGAGCAGGGCAGCGGAGCCGGGCGGGACTGAGCCACCCGCAGAGCAGAGGAGGAGAGCGGAGCGGAGCTGCCCTGCTCCCTGCTCCCGTGCCGGGCTGCCCGCATGGCTCCCGGGCACTGTGGAGATTGTGGGGGCTGCTGCTGCTGAGCAACCATCCATCGCTTTAAACTCAGCCTCAACTTAGCGCAGCAGGCAAGGATGGCAACGCCACTGGAGCTTTGGAGCTGCCAGGAGAGCCGGGGAACCTGGGTTTTGGTCGCCGCTGTCTAATAAATGGGAGTAAAATGGAATTTCTTACTTGGGTTTTTCCTGCCTTGGTTCTACTGTGCACCCAACAGCACAGGTGTATCAGGTAAGAAAACATCTTATCGTTCTTTCTCAGCCTGGCCTCGGGCAGCCGTTCCCTCGGTCGGGGTGAGTGGTGCCAGGGCTGGCTGGGGCTCCCACTCTTGCCCAGGGATGCTTTGTGCACTCCCGGGCCAGGACTGCTTGGAGAGAGAGTGCAGGAGAAAAGGGCTCTCGATTCAAGAGTTTCTTTAATGTGCCTCCTCTGTTTGGGTTTCTTTTTCTTTCTTCATTTCCTTGCTGAGGGTGCACTTCTGCCAACTGAGTGAGCAGCAGTTTCTTGGGTTAATCAAGGGCTGTGTGTTTAACAGGATGCCCCTGGAATGCTTTTCCTGAGGGTATTCACTCTAAATTGGGGGTAATCACTGTTTGTGAGGCACTGCACATCCCCGAACAGCCTCAGCCCCTCCAGCAGCTCTGTAGGGGCCTGTTTGAACTCGAACCTCTTCCATAAAGCCAGCACAACCAGCGGGGTACGAGCTGAATAGCTTTGCTTGGGGCCTCCATAGGCACCGTTAAAACCCGAAAATACAGCCATGCCTTTCTGGTGGGTTCACTAAGTCTCCTGAACTCAGGATGACAGGAAGAGGCTGTCAGAGATCTTAGGGGGAAAAAAACGTTTGGAGAACGCCAACCATTTCTTAAAATGCTGAATTGTAAAGAAGGATGTATGTCAGAAGGATGTATGTGTGCAGCTCAGCCCCATTTCCTCCGAAGGTGTTAGCTAGGCAACCAGCCACGGGCTCCAGAGATTCTCTCCAGATCTGGAGGCTGGATGTGGAGAAAGCTTGCCATGATTACGCAATGAAAATAGAAGGGGGTGTAAAAAAGAACTTGCTGCATGTAAAAACATGCCCACACCCCCCAGAGCAGAGGGGGCTGTGGCATTAAAGGGGTCCTACAGCTTCTGCTTCACAGACATCGTTCGTACCTTCAGAGGAGTGGAAGAGGCAAGGTGGTAACTGGAGTGAGACAGAACATTGCTGTTACACTTTTTGGAATTAATCAGTGAGATCTGATTTTTTCACTGGGAAGGAAGAGGATCTTGCTCAGAGGAAGCGTCAAGTCAACTGCTCTTAGCCAGGACTGACATGATGATTTATCCTGTGACCTTGAGTCTGTTATCCGGGGTCAGATCCTGACATCCTCGTGCTCCAAAGCAATCCAGTATTACAGTGAAGGCAGAAAAAATGCTGCTTATGACCGAAGGGCACCAAGACCTTGCCCATGATTTCAATGATCTCGTTTCTCCCTCTGCACTTGGGCCAGCATTGAGGCTTTGGGTTGAAAAGTGATGTTTGAGAAGAAAAAAATAGAATTTTAAAGAAGAGTCTTCTCAGCATCTGTCTTTCGAGGTCTGGTCCCGGGCACAGCCACTGCCAGGATATGGGCAACCTATAATTTGTTGGATACATTATTTTATATTTGGATTAATTCCCTGGTTACTTGACTTTCTTCCTCCAGTTACACAATAGCGATGAGTTGTTTGTTAAAAATACATCTACTCGTGGCAGAGAGGCAGGCAAGGCAAATTCTAACTTCTGAAATTCCAACTGCTCAGTCTGTAGTTTTCCAAACGTGGCAGAGTGTGAGACATTCCATGGTCAAGGGAAGCTGCTCTGTTTGGCACAACAGTTTTCTGCAGATTCAGGATTTAGTGTGGCTGTGGCAGGACATTGTTTAATCCTGTGAAAGGGGAGTAGCCTTGCTTACATGTGTAATTGGGATCCGTTAAATGGAACTAGAGCAAAATTTTATCCTTGCATCAGTAAAAATATTTTTGGTACGAGATGCTTTTATGAAAAGCAGTGTAATTATGGGCAAAACTGCCATTTTAAGGCTCTGATTTTGTTTTCTAAATGCAATGCGACTTGCAGTTATGATGACAGAGGCCATCCAAACCCCCTGAATTCTCTGCTTGTGAGTTCTGTGCACTGGGGATCGCCAGGTGTAAGAAAAACCTATTCCAAAAAGGAAGAACAGTTTGGTGATTTTGGAATGCAGTTGTCAGACACAGGACTTCCCAAAGGCAAAGCTACCACTGAAATTACTGTCCTGGTTTGGCAGAGGAGGGAAAGGGGGGACACACAGGGAAATGCTGTTCTCTCACAGCAGTTGGGAATATCCTTCCAGGGTGCTTTAGCTGTGTTTGAAGCAATTCCTCTGTCATGTGTGCTGTCTGACTGAAGGGAAGGAGCCAAATTCAATCTAAGTCAGCACATTTTTTTCAGGTAAAAAAAGCAGTAATTTTTTGTCTTCTCGAGACAGTGATTAGTGGCAAGAAATTTGCAATTTATATGATTGACAGATCTTTGAGGCAAAGACTGTGGCTTCCATTATTTTATCAGGGCTTGATATGCTGTGGATGCTTGTGCCACAGGGCACGAGATCATCTTCAGAGAGACACTTGGGGAATTATTTCTTCGTTTGCCTGGGGAAGGAGCACCGTTGATGGGAGTTTGGGGGTCCATGTCCATACTTTGTAATTCTTTACTGAAATAGATTTTAATTCTCTATTAAAAATAGGTGTATCTTTTATATTTCAGACTCTTCTATGTTAAGTGACATTTCTATACATTTGAGTTAATTGTCCTTCTGCTGTGTGTCTCCCTAAGCCTTTTACTTCTATTTGTGGAAGCAGAGCAGCTTTAACACGTGAATATATGCAAAGAATGGTCCATTTTCTGTAGCTTAAAACTCACAGAGAGGCTTTGATGTTCTAGAGGTTGCCACGAATTAAGCCTAATGCCTTTTCAATTACATTTCAAAATACAAAACATATTTACAGTGAGCTTCACTTAAAGTCAGGAATGGCAGATGGGAAGGATACACATACTGCTCTGGATAATCCTGGAGTTTGACAGAGGCCAGATTTTTCTCTGACCTTGCAGGATATTCCTTGTCTTTTTCCCAAGAAAAAGTTTTCTTCAGTGGCAATGACACCTGGGACATTTGCCCCCAAATGTTTACCTCATAGAAAATGAAATGTTCTCCACCCCAGTCCTTCAGTCAAACTGGTTTTTCCATCTACCAGGATAAATGATTCCTATAACAACTATGTCACGGTCCCCAAAAGAATCAGGTTAGCAGATTCAAAGGAGAAACAGAAGATGCAAAGAGTGATTTCCCACATCCCTCTGCTCTGTGTGTTTGTCAGAAGGTCAGAGCACCCTCCCTGCAAGTGTGACCCCAAATCTGTGCCTCATTGGCCGCTGACTTAAAGATGCTGCTGAGCTTTCTGCACTGCTCCCAGAGATTTTGGCACTGCTGTGCAAAAATAATACTGCCAGTGTCATGCCTGGTTCAGCTGCTGTAGTGCCCTCATGGAACCCACAGATTGCCTCTTGCCTGGGGTGATTTGGGGCTCAGATATTTCCTGGTGATAGTGATACACTTCCAGCACCCCTTTTCAAGCAGTGCTCTGGCAGGGAGCAGAGACAGGCCAGTGCCTCTCTTGTCTGACAAGCCCCTTCAAGACGTGCTGCCCAAGTGGATTGAGGCTTCTCCTCCAGATCCCTCCACACTAGTGGGATGCAGTGGTGCTGCAGCAGCTGGGGGAAGATGTCAGCTCAGATAGAGAGGATTTTGGGATATGTGGACTTATTATTCTAGAACTGATTGCACTTGGCTCTGAAGGAGATGCATTTCTTTGCTCTGTCATTTGACATTCATTGCTTAGAGTTGCTTTCCCTAAACGGTGTCAAGAGCAGCTTTACTAGGGAAAGGAGAACGCCATAGGTTTTCCCAGTTTAGCTATGGGATTTCCTTTCAACTTTATCTAATGGACAAGAGAACTCACTGTTACTTTCATCATTTAAACAGCAATAATCTATTTTCAGCTGCTAACAACGAGCTCGGTCGAAGTTCTCCCAGTGCTTAAATTCCAGGTATGAGCAGACACAAATAAATTCTCCAAAATATCTGCTTGAAATGAGATGTGTACACAGCCAGAGTGTGGGAGAAAACCCATCTCCTTCAGCCTTAGCTTTGGGAATGACTTCCAGAGTGACAGGAGTCCACATGACTGTTGCCATTCAGCCAGAGCTCCCCACGCTGGCCCGGTGCAAACTGCAGATAAGCTTTTGAGGAGCTCTTTTACCCCTTGGATTTGGCAAATCACTACCTTAATTTCACAAAGTCCTTTTCTTACTAAAACAAGCTTTACAGCAGCTTACGTGGGGAAGGGAATTTGCTGAATCAACTAAGGGGAGTTTCCTTTCTTTTCATCTCTCCTGCTTACTCTATGAAAACTTAATCCCTTCCAATGCATCTTTTCTCTGCTGGCCTTCCTTTTTCAGGTACAATAATGAATCATATTTTAGGCCATATATAATCCCAGCTGCTTATCAAGGATGAATGAAACTCTCCCACCGTCCCCCCTGTAACTTTAAAGCCCTGGGTGTGGTGTCCAGGAATCCAGAGGAATGGCTGGAAGGAGTTATCACAACATGGTAAATGTGGCCATAAAGTTATTTCAGCTGTAATACTTTAATAGCCCCCCTGGTATTAAGTGCACATAGCTCCACTAACTTCAGCACATTTGTTACACTGATGATCTGACCCTAAGGCTTCATTAATAATAGAAACAAGATTTATTTTAATTGTGTCATGGATATTTAAGTAAAACTCCCTCTAGATTGTAATCTGCTTAAAACACATGGCAGGCTACAGCCCACGGTTTCTAACCCGGCTCTCAGTATTTTAACTCCCTTTTAGCTCCTTAATGCCACTAAAATGGAGCCCTGACAAGGGAGCTGCTGCACACCAAGTGCTTTGTCAAAACAGATGAGCAGGCACACGGGGGAGATCACTCCGGGGCACTCACCTTCTGACTCGAGCTCTGTTTGCAAAACACTTCCCAGAACTGGCGGCAGTTTTAGCAACAGGAGTTGCAAAGCACCATCTTCTGTTGAAAAGGCAAAGAGATCTGAGGCAGATGTATTAATTCAAGCGTATTGGAGTTATTTGCTCTCATTAGGAAAAGACAGAAAGCACCATTCTTTACCTGGGAAAGGAGCTCAGAGGTTTTGCTGGTTAGGAACACCATTCCATACCTATGGCTGAGACTTACAAGTTACAATTAAGTACATTTTTAAACAAATTTGCCATGGATTAAGAAACTATAATTTCATTTAAGTAAATACTTACAGTTGGATGACTGAAAGACCAGCCCATAGAGAAGAGCAGTCTGATGGAAAGAAGTGTTGATATAGTTGATGAGACCCAATAAAGAAGGAAGGAACTTCTGTCAACATTTGTTATAAATCTTCAAAGCCCTTGTCTAAATCAATTACGTTATTCCAATTTATGCAGCTGAAAACGTGGCTCTGATCCTTCCTCAGAAGAGCTAGAGGAACCTGAGAAGTGCCTGGGATAGTCATTTGAGATGAACATGCAGCACTGTGCTCATGGCAAGGAAATATTATGAACGCAATTTAATATAACATTTTGCTGGGAAGTAATGAAGTTTCCCTTGGAGCAGTGTCCCTGTGCTGTAAGGTCACAACAGCTTTGACAGCTCCACTAATGCAAGCTTTCAGTGTCTCTGCTGCTCAGAACTCACATTTGTACATTGTAATCCCAGAACTCCTTCCTTATATAATTGATTCCGTACACGAGACAAGAATTTTCTGACCAGAGCGATCGAAGATTTTTCTCTCAGCCCCCTGTGGGAGGAGGAGTTGGGCACTGCAGGAGACTCTGCTCCTGTGCTGGCAATACCTGCTCGTGCTGAGCTGAGTGCCCAGGCTGGCATATTTTGGGGAGAAAACCCATGTGCTTTATGTGGGTCATTGTCACATGAACAGCCAAAGTTCTGTGAGTGCCAGGGCAGGGTGTGTTTGTGGTGTCTCCCCCTGCACGAGCACAAACCCCACAGCAACACAGCACCTCGCAGCCAAAGCCTGCTGCCTGTTCCCCTCGTTCCAGATGTGCAGTTCCTGCTGTGTTCCCCTCCCATTTGACAGTCCCCCAGCCTCCGAGCTCAGCTGTTCCACAGTTCACTGGGAGCTGGCACAGCTGCATTCCAGCAGCCACAGATGCATTTTAGGCAGCACACAAAGTGTGTCTTGTTTCCCTCACATTTTCTCTAAGTTTCTGAATCTATTTTTCCTACTTTTTTTTAAAAAAGGAGAAAACTTCCAAAAGTATGTACTTGTAACTCAGAAAGAGGCCATAGTCTTGCCTGAGTATGTTTTGATTTAAACAGAAATATCCGAAATTGTTTTCCTGCCTATATACAGTATTTTCTCAGTAAATTTCCAGCATAGATGATTATACCATATGTGGTCTCTGGTGTGAGAGAAGTCACTCTTCCATTTTCTGTCGGTTTTCTGTTTGTAAACGTGGGCAAGTTTCAAAGGACACTTCCTTCCTCTCCCCAGAGCTATGAGTGACATCGGAGACTACATTGGTTCCAACATTGAAATCTCCTGGCTGCCCAACCTGGATGATTTAATGAAAGGCTACGCACGGAATTTCAGGCCTGGCATTGGAGGTGAGGCTTGGACAATAATGTCTCTTCTGTTCTTACAATCCCTCTACCCTCTGATGCTCGTGTGAACTTCATCCTTTACATGATTAAAAGGTTATGATTATTTTCTACTTGGATACTGGGAAAAAATAACCATCAAAAATTGGGATGGTTTTGACAGGAGACAGACTGTACAACAGCAACACAGGCTTCTGATACAGTTCTTAAATCACTGACATTTAAGTTGAAGGAATTTTGTATTGCATTAAATGGTGATGATTCCTGCACTGCTTGAAGTCATGCTGTCTTAAACTTGGTAGTGTGATTTCCAGAAAGGATTCCATAATTTTCAGTAGCTGTGATTGTATCTCGTGCCCTTTATCACTGAAGTGAGGTTGGAAATTGAGGTAAAAATCAGTAAAAGATTTAAATCTGTTGCTTTAGGGTAGGTTTTGCTTGGAGAGTGTACTTTATAATGGAAAACACTTTTGTGAACTCTCTGAAAGAATTGAAATCTTGGGTCATTTATATTTTTGTAGGTCCTATGATGATGTCAATGACCCCATTCAACCCTTTTCCCCAGGTCCCCCCGTTAACGTTGCTCTGGCCATCGAAGTAGCCAGCATTGACCACATCTCAGAGGTGAACATGGTACGGTATCAGAGTCTTCAGTTTTGCTTTAAAAAACGTTCAAAACCAAAAGTTGTACTGTTCTTTTTTGAGACTTGCAATATGTTACATGTAACACTGATGTTGAACCACTTTTTGATAATTTGAGTTTATCTGTTGTAGAAGCATAGCAGAAATTCAAATGCTTGGGCGGCTCTCTGGTTGACTGAGTATAAAAATACTTATTTGCACTGGAAGCAGATCATGTATTTCCAGGCTAATACAATGATTTTTGGCCGAGTCCCAAGACATTACCATTGTGTTTGTTCAGCATCACTTCTTACTTGGGCTTTCTCCTGTCACAGGAATACACCATGACAGTGTTTTTACACCAGAGCTGGCGAGACGACCGTCTGTCTTACAACCACACCAACGAGACTCTGGGCTTAGACAGCAGGTTTGTGGACAAGCTCTGGTTGCCAGATACTTTCATAGTCAATGCCAAGTCTGCCTGGTTCCATGATGTGACTGTGGAAAACAAACTTATCAGGCTCCAGCCAGATGGAGTAATTTTATACAGCATCAGGTGAGTGAAAAAGAGAGCAAGTGTTCTCTATTGTGTGCTGACTTCTGGAACAGACTGTGAAGTAACCACTGTTTTCCTAGGATGGTTTCATAAAATAGTTGTTAATTTAATATGGAAGAAAATCTCCTGTCAGAGACCCCTTTGCTTTCCAAGGATGACAGTGCCAGGAAGGTCTTTTTGGCAACACTAACACCCTGTGCAGTGCAGAGTCACTGACCATGTTCAGAATGTCCTCCAAGTGTCTCAGAGCTGTTTGGCAAAGATTCTGTTCTCCACTCTCTATTTTCCTATTCTCTTTTCTATTTCACTGTTTTCCAAGGGAACTATGAGCCTGATTTAGGCTCAACTTCCCCATCTCTCAAACAGAGAAAGTGTCATTTCCTCACCTTGGAAGAGTGCTGTGGCTGGAACTCAGTAACTGTACTGGAAGTTAATTGTGTAATGTTCTACAAAATGAATGTGCACCCTTGAAATTGTAAGCCCAAAATTCCCATCAAGGTATTAGTAGAAATCTTGGGGACAGTGAAAGGTGGTAGATGGAATCAGAGAATTCCTTTTCATTGTGAGAAGTAGCTGAAGTGTCCTCTGACATTAAAGTCATTTGACTTTTCTTCAGTTCCCTGCCCTTGGGTTTCCCACACGCTCAGTAAAGGCAACGGCCATAAGGGCTTTGAAAAGAATTCCCTTCATTGCTATGAAGGTTTCAAAGTTTTCCATTCAGTGTTTTGAGTTCAGAGGAAAAAGCTCTGTCTGAATGTGACTAACTGGTGTTCCCGTTGCCTGGAACAGGATTACCTCAACAGTGGCCTGCGACATGGACCTCTCCAAGTACCCCATGGATGAGCAGGAATGCATGCTGGATTTGGAGAGCTGTAAGGGCTGAGTACACCTGTGTTTTCTGTAAAGCCTGGGCATGTGGGACTGGGACACTGGAGTGAGCTGGGATGGTTCTGCTTTGGGCAATGAAATGTAAGGGCTGCCTTGAGATTCAGAACAAACAGGAATCCCTTCATTCCCTGTGCTGGGCATTACACAATGGACTTTTCAATGCCCCAATCCTAAACTCTAGGATTTAATGTAGTGATGATGAACAATGAACAGTCCTGTTACAAATGTCTGGAACTCTGAGCTTGATGTGAAACCTCGTGCAGTTGTGGCAGTCACTGGCATTACTGAGCTTTGCATCAAATCCAGGGAGAACAAGCAGAGAAGCCCACAGGCAAAAATTTGATGTGCTGTGTTTTCTTTATAAGAAGAAGGAAAAAGAAAGAATTCCGTGCTTTTAATGAAAGCCATGGTGACTAACCTTTACAGAGATGTTGAGCTTGCCTTGGCATTCCTGTATCCGTGACCCAGAAATCCATCAGAATACTGCATGGATTGCCTTAATTCCTTTGCACTCACAGAGGAGGGTGAAGAATGAGTTTATGTTTGTCCAACCTGTTGTTTATCTGTGATCAGCGTGTAAATCCCACGAGCATGAATACTTCTGAATGAAAACCACCACAGACACAAGCAGGGGCCACCCAGTTGGTGGCAATGAATCTGGTTTTTAGATCAAGGAGTCTACAGGTCCTGAGGGCTCCAGAGATTTGGGAGCAGCAGTTTTTGAGCAGATCCCCTGGCCTGTTAATGCCAGTTTCTCTTTTTCAGCACCAAGTTTGTTTTCTAGGCAATTAGCCACAATACCCCTTTGTCCTGTCAAAAATAGCAATCTACAGTTTTACTTATGTAATCACCAAGTGCAGAGGCAGCAGGCAGTGCCCCAGCAATCCATTCTCTCTCCCAGCAAGTTCTGCAGGGAGTTTTTTGGGGGGGTTGAATGTTTGAATTGAATTGGAGGGGTTTGATTTCAGTGAAGCAAACAGCCTCTTTAAACAAATGAATGCTCTAGGAGCAAGTTGTCCACTAACAGCAAAACTAGCAAAGATTGATTGCATCTCACAAAAATCCCCTCACACACATCCCCCCTCTGTCATGTCCCTGGTGTCCTGCAACTCTCCCAGGCAGAATAATCCAGGTTGAATCCCAGCAATGGGTCTGATGGAATTCAGCACAGCAGGAGTTAAAGAACTTCCACTGTGAGTCCTCTAAGCTCTTAATTTCTGCCTCGAACTTGTTGTTTATTCAGCTTTCTTTTGGCAGATGGCTACTCCTCGGAGGACATCGTGTACCACTGGTCAGAGAACCAGGAGGAGATCCACGGGCTGGACAAGCTGCAGCTCGCCCAGTTCACCATCACCAACTACCAGTTCACAACAGAAATTATGAACTTCAAATCTGGTAACAGAATCTCTCCTCAGCTCAGGGACGGTATCTGACTTTTTCCAGCACAGGGAAACCTCCTGTATCTATAACAGAAAATCCTTCTTCTTAGGTAACTAATTTAAGAACCTGTCAGGTGTCTGATAAGAGTTTTCTTCAGCTTACACTCATGAAAAGTGTCATCCTTTGCTGAGCCTCCAGGTAGCTACTGTAGCATGTTATGTCCTTCAGCTCTCTCTGCCTGACAAAGCACTGTGTGGAGTAGCCAGACAGTACTTGATAAAGAACACTTGAGGTATAGCTCATATTTTCTTGACCTAATTTGCGACTTCAGATCACGAAAAATTTCCATTAGCCCTGATGTTATGAAGCTTATGACGTACAGTCAGATCAGTCTAATTCTACCCAGTAGAAGTCAGTGGTGTGTATGTCTATCACTGGGCTTATTGCAATGTTTGTACAAGATTGGAGTCATTTCTTTCCTGCTGATTTTTCATCCTCTTTCATGTATTCAGATTCTCATTTATGCTGCACATCTCCTCTAAGCTCTTTTTTGAGTTTGAAATTAACTTGGCCTTTTAAAAAATCTAAATTTAGTATCTGGAGGACTTTCTACAGCAGATGATAAGACAGTACACATTTTGAAGCAATACTGTTATTTGAGAAGACTCATGATTTTATTTTCAGATCTGGCATTGATATGACCTGAGACAGATCATTTGACCTATTCTTAGCTGATGAAGCTGCAGCACCTCGTGCAGGGTTTATGGGGACTGATCGAACACCATTCAGGAAAGCGTTCTGTGATCCCTGTCCAAAAGCTGTCACAGCTCTGTTTCATTGCAGAAATGTCATTTTGAGTATCAGTTTGACTGTAATGCACGCAGCCAGAGCCTTCTCTGCCTGCTCTTTTTTCCAGCAGGGCAGTTTCCCAGGCTCAGTCTCCACTTCCACCTGCGGCGGAATCGAGGAGTTTACATCATCCAGTCCTACGTCCCCTCCATCCTCCTGGTGGCCATGTCGTGGGTGTCCTTCTGGATCAGCCAGTCAGCTGTGCCTGCCAGGGTGTCCTTAGGTAAAGCAGGGGCCTCGGGGGACTGGAAGGGAAGGCAATGCTCAGGTTGGAATTCTGCTCTCTGATAATCCTTATTTTACATGAAGGTGCATTTATGACCACTCTGTTTACTTTTGCAGAAGAGATGGTCCTTCAGAAGGCTTCCCTCCTGTTTTAATTTCTGTCATGTTATCAGAGCAGCTGCCTCAGGAAAGAACAGCAAATAACCCCCTAAAGAGGGTTAAAAGCAGTAATGACTGTGAGGCAGATCTATGAAAGAATTCATTTGAAGGAACTGGGACAGTGGCAAAAAAATATTCCTGGTGCTTGTGGATCTGTTTGTCTGAGTAAGGGTTGCCAGTTCAGATGCAAAAGCGTTTGAGGGTTAAGTCTTTGGGTTTGGTTTGTCCTGATCTAGAACAAAAGCAAGGATAATTTGTTCAAAGCTGCCTTATACAAATGCAGTATTTTTACAAGCTTCTCTGCTTTGAAAATCAGGAGCCACAGTATTTGTACTGTGAAAATATCCTCCTCTTCAGATTAGTAAAAGTCTCCATGTATAATACATCAGTAAATCCATTTCCTCTCCTGCTCCCTGCAGGAATAACCACTGTCCTCACCATGACCACGCTGATGGTCAGTGCCCGCTCCTCCCTCCCTCGAGCCTCTGCCATCAAGGCCCTGGACGTTTACTTCTGGATCTGCTACGTGTTCGTGTTCGCCGCGCTGGTGGAATACGCCTTCGCTCACTTCAACGCTGACTACATGAAAAAGCAGAAGAACAAGATCAAGGCGAGGAGGCAGAGTGCAGAGGTCAGTGAGGGTGGTGTGGGAGTGACTTTGGCACAGCAGTGCCCCTGCAGCACGGCCTGGCACTGCCCCCTGTATTCCTCAGGGAACCCCAGTTCCTGAGGCCTTTCACTGCATGCTCTGTGAAATTCCTGTGATGATGCTGCTTTCTTACCTATGTCTTTGAATGTTACAGAAAAAAAAAAACCTTCAGGAGAGGCAGAAACTCCATTATTCTCCTCTTTCCCTTGCAGATCAACGTGAAGAATGCCATTGTTCTGTTTTCCCTTTCCATAGCTGGTGTGAACCAGGAACTGGCCATTTCCAACAGGCAGCACCGAATTCCCAGGAGCCTGCCCGGCTCGTATGGCACAATAGAAATAGAAACTGGAGAGACCAAGCAGCAGCCAGGGATGAAACTGGATAAAAAGACTGGCCTGAAGTCCCTGTTCAAGCCCATTGACGCTGACACCATCGACATTTACGCCCGAGCCGTGTTCCCAGCAGCCTTTGCAGCAGTCAATGTCATCTACTGGGTCGCTTACACGATGTAAAAACCCAAAACCAGGGACAGTCATGGCCAGAGCTACAAACTCAACAACACCCACGGATTAAAGAGCCCTTGCTGAGACTGAATCGAGCCATTTCTTCTCAAAATATTGTCCAACGAGCTCAAGACACTTCTAAAGTCGAGAAAGTCCTGCTATGAATTCCCAGAAAAAGCAGCGATTTATTGCTGTTCTGATTTGATACAGTAAGAACAGTGCTGTGCCAGACCATCCCAGCTCCTTCCTTCCTCTAATACCATGAGACGATTTTTCATATGTACATATTTGTAGCAAAAGTTTAACTCTTAAATGACCACGGTTTTCCTCCCCTTTAAGGGTTGATCAGTAATGAAGATTTGGCTTTTCACACTCAGATAATTACCTTTTTTGTAACGAAAGAGTTAATTCCTCACTTCTGCACGAGTGATTTTCTGCATCTGGCCTTCTGTGGGATGGTCTAGGTTTAACAGTAGTGGTAAAGTTGGAGTTTTCAATCAGAAAAATCTCATGAACAAAGTAAAAAGGAATAGAGGGGAGTGGAGGTTTTTCTTAAAATATTATTTGTCTTGGATAAAATATTGAAAAAATTCAGTGCTCTTAGTCACAGCATGAAATAAAATATACTACATCAAATTCTACTGAATTGTTAATAATGACTGCATTACATTTCAGATCTAAGCTAATGAAAGTTTAAACACAGAAATGTTTATTAGTTTAATAGGCCCCAAACATATAAAAATGATTTAGAAACAGAGGGAAAGCTCAGGCTTCCTATGTTGGATTGGGAAAAAATTTAAAGGTGCTTCATGAGGAAGAAACTCTGACTCCATTTTCAGGAAGGACTTTAGGATTTGTTCTGTCGATTGTCAGTGAGATTCTACCATGTGTGCCTCTGAAAATATCCTTTTTGAATCCGTCCCTAAATAGCTGAATGAAGTACAAAAAAGAATTCATAACTGGCTTCAAGTTACTCAGTTGCTTTGGATATTTTTGCCATTTTTGTTCCAGGCTGACCTGATCCATTAGGGCTCTTCCCTTCCCTTATTCAGCAGGGAAATCTGTAGGTCCTCATACACACTCCTTAAGTCAGGACTAGATCGTCTTGCCCAACTTATGCAAAATAGCACTTTGTTCTGTAAATAATTCCAGTGAACTCAGCAAATGAACACAGTATTCACAACAAACAAGCTTCACAACTAATCCCGAAAATCTCCACAGTAAATATATTGGAATATGGATTAAACCCACTGAAACATTGTTTCTGTAGAAAGCCAATGTGAGACGCTACAAAAGGGAAATTTATTTTGAAGATTTTGTTGCCTTGAAAGTGAGAGGTTGTTTTTAAATATAGAGACTGACACAAAAGCAAATATGAAATGAGAGAGAGAGGGAAAGAAGGAGGCAAAGCAAGGGGCTGAAATCTGCGATGGAAGGGAGAGTGAGATTTGTTCAGTATCAGTGAAGTAAGAGAATGCTTTGAAAAAAAACTAATGATCTTGAACTGAGCTGCAACAGCAAATATGCTCCACTGTAAGTCAGGTTTAGGTTCACCTCCATCTTTAGTTTCTGTTATCATGGAAAAGCTGTCAGCCAACAGTGTGCTGGAAAGCCCAAACTGCCATCAAGCTGTAACTGTTCCACAGAGTCCTCCCCAAGCCAACCCTGGACTGAGACACCCGGATTCTGCTCCAGGATCTCACCACTGACTTGCTGAGGAACCCCAGACCTTGCACTGCATCACCTCCAAAATTGCTTTTATGATGCTGATTTCTTTGAGTTTTACAGAAGACAAACCCTCCAGGAGAGGCAGAAACTCTCATCCTCCAAATGGGTAAGTGCATCCAACTGGTGCTTCCGTGGTGGTGTTTGCCACAGTTTCTGAGACTCTCACATACTGAATTAAAGCAAAGTATCACTCAACTTCCACCTCATCCAGAACGCTAATGGAAATCTGCATCTCCTTCAATAATCAGGTAATCAGGCTTCTTTTTCTTCCTCCTGCTTCTCCTCTTTCTAATTTATTTTTCTTGCTGTTTGTTCCTGATGTTGATGCAATGCTGCATTACAGAAATACACTATTTTTTTTTCCTAAGTGCGTTTTTGGTCATAATCACTTTCTCCCCCAAGAAATTCAGCCTCTCCTGCTCTCCTCTGAATCATTCTTACTGTTTTATATAATGATTAAGTGCAGAGTGGAATAAAACCAGCAGAAGCATGACTTTACCATGCCTTCGTTGCTTTGTCCCTGATCCCTCCCCACAACAGCGCTACATCCTTTAGAAAGGCCAGAGGACCTCATTGTTCTCTGTTACACTTGCATAAATCAGAAATAATCGTCGGTTTAAGTCCACCCTTTCTGTACCCTGCTGGTTTCTCCAGCTATTAGTTTATTATGTTGCCTGTCAGGGTCAGTGTCTTCTGCTAAGAGTGAAGTTATTGACTGAATCCAGCTGAAGAAATATTCACAGCAAGTTCCTGCAGAGTGCAAATCATAGGAAAAGAACCCATGATTTTGGAATTAAAGTTATTAAAGAGCAGAGAGCAAAGCCTGGCCCTAGTCCCTCCAGTGAGCAGTGGCTGGTTATTTGGAGTAATTAGCAAGAAGGTGGCTGCAGATATTATAAAGGCAATGTCTAATCTAATTACTTCTGCAGTAATAGTTTGTAATTGTGCACCTGACATAACTCCTTACACTGCAGCCAACTGACTGATCACATGGGGTTATTGGACAAAATTAGTTGCTTCTCCATCTGGGAGACAGTCACAGGCTGCATGTCCTGCTGACTGCTCCAGAAGATTTATTCAGGGAGGTTTTTCTGTACTTTCACTGCAGATCTTCAAGGTGCACAGCTCAGTGGGACTGATCAAAGGCAGAGGTGGCAGCAATCTCCTCAGAAAACCCCAAAGCCAGAATGCCAGACTATGTCAGTGATGCACACAGAAGCACAAACAAGAGGACAGAAATATCCCAGGAGGTTGCAGGCTGTCAGGAAAGTGCCCTGTGAGCCACAGATGGCAACGTGTCCATCCCAGGAACGAGGTGGTCAGAGGGGGAGAACAGGATTTTGGGTACTGGAACTGCACTTGCATGAGTAGCACAAGACAAAACACCTCCCTCACCAAGAGTGGGATTTTCTTAAATCTGTTTCCAGAGCCAGAAACAGAAAACTCAGATGCCATTCAAACTTTTAAGGAGACATTTCAGTACAGGAGTATGGTGAGTTGATTGGAGTTTTGCATAAATTTGAACCTTCTATATTTTTTTTCACTTAAAATCATCATATTTAAAAATCCTCAGACATTACTACTTTAGATCTATTAACATCTAAAGGCAATTCCCTGTTCAACTCTAATTTCATGATGCCCTTAATAAAGTTAATAAGCCAAATCTGGTGTCAGTTGAATGCTGACTTTGGATGGGTTTTACTAGTGTCATAAAAAAAAGTATGTGACAGATCAGAAGGCACCTGAAAGCATTTGTGTTCCTTTCAGCAATTTATAGTTCTGCTCTATGGACTGGCGTGTCTGTGAGAAAAGGAGTGGGCTATGTGTTAATGTAATCATTCTAAATGTGAAGTGTTAATAAAATGTACATATACAGAAATTGGAGCTTCTGTAAACTGCCAAAACAGACATTCCAACTATTGAACTGGAAGATGAAACGCATTAGAAAGGCAGATCAAAATAACCCCAGAGATTTCATCCCTTAATGACATCCTGCCTGTTCAGGGCCCAGGGGCTGGTAAAACTCTCCCCCGGCCTTGCCAGCAGAGGAGGAAGTGCCGTTGTGTGCTCAGGAGAGCTTTCTGGGGGGCACTTTGCAAACTGCTGCATTGATGGCACAAAGGGCTGCTGCCGCCTCAAGAGGCTGGAAGGAATCAGAAAGCACGAGAGGACAGATGAAGAAATGCACGATGTGTTTGAAAGTAATGCTGGCAGTGAGAGCTCTATTAAGAGGTTAAAATACAGAGATGTCTGTCCTGTGTCTGGGTAGCAATGAGAGCATTTATCCCACTTAAAGGAAAAGCTCCCCCATCAGTTCCTAACTGGTTTGCTAATCCAACAGATAATGTAGCGAAACCAATTTAACTCGGTGAGGCTTCTGCTGTTGGGACAACAAAACACTTAATACGATTGCTCTGGTTTGAAATACTCCCAGTCATTAACCTAAAAAAGCACTTCCCATCAGGAGGAAAACAGCACCCTGAATGTTCGTCTCTGAAGCAGAACAGATAACAAAAAGCTTATTAAAAGTTTCTGAGAATATTTTTTGTTCAAAGAAAAAAAGCTGAAGCAACTCCCTCCTGCCCTCTTTATTACAGCAGCTCAAACCACTTGCAGTGGTTGAAAGGCTGTTGGATACTAAAATAACACTGCGTGCAATATGTGTTACAGACATAGCTAATTGTTCTTAATGAAAACTGAATAAAAATTTGGCAACGAACATGTGGTTTTGGGTGGATTTGGTAGCTGAGGAAGGCACCGTGTCCTAAATGAGATGAGCTGGAGATTTAAGCCCCTCGTTATGTAAGGCACGAGGGATCTGCTCCCTCCTTGGACCAGCTTGGTGTCACTGCTGTGCCTTTTGCAAACTCCTGCAGAGTAAAAACAAATCTGAGAGGACAGTCAAGGCCAGGCTGTCACAAAATATAGCACCAACAGGACTAATCAGATGTTATTGGGAGTTCATTGTTCCGTGAAAAGATTGGTCCAAAAAAATAAACCCAAATATCCCTCATTTCTGAGACACCAGAAACCTCTGGGAACGCATCCTTTTCTTTAACTCTCGCAGTACTTCAACTTCACTTGATCCTCAGTTCTCTTTCCCTTTTTTTCCCCACTTGAAAAGGGAAAGAAAACGAGGAAATTTTCCTTCTCTTTGGCACGAGGACATATTAGGCAAAACCAATATAATCTTGTCCCACAGGTATGAAAAACAGTGAGACTGAAAGTCCTCATTTACAAACCTTTGTACCTTCCAAGGAGTGTTACATAAAAGGCAAGAAACTCAGCCCTGTGATAATTACCCAGCACACTCCCACACAAACACAGTCTCCCTGTTCCATTCCTTGCACTGCACTCTGCAAACCCTTACATGCAAAAAAGACAGTTTGAGTCAGTCCTCAAATTCTCCACACTCTGAAGGAAACTCTTCTCCATAATTTTGGCCCAAACATCTTTAGCACAGTTAGTGGGTAACACAAGTTACTAACAAATCCAGGGTGCATTGTCTGCTCCTTGGGTGAGTATCTGGGTGAGAGCAGCACGAGTGTCACCAAACTCTCAGTGTTCATTCATGGGCTCACCAGCTGGGGCAGGGAGAACATTTTCATTCCACAGGAATGGATAACTGGCCAGCTTTGGTCAATTGGAACAGGCATAGCTGGAAGTAGCAAAATAATATATAGGCCATTGAGCTATTCCAGTACTACAGTTACTACAGCCTTAAGATTAAACAAAGGCTGAGTGATGAAATACAGAGTAATCTGTAAAACATCTGGTATAATGCTCCATCCAGGCTGTTCTTCCTTTATTGCTACGTTTCTTTCATCTTCAGACTAATACAAAAGATCTATTTCTGTACATCTTAAACTTATTATGGTTTTACAGATATATTTAAGATTATCCTACCCTTATCTTCGTGGGTGCAACTTTTACAAATACAAGCTTGTACGTGCATATATAGAAAAGACAGGAGGGATCTATAATTTTTAATAAATTACAGTGCATATAGTATTGTTAAATTGAACAGGTTGTTTAAATATCCTGGAAAAAAAAACAACAAACACAAAACCACAGACGTTTGATTTTATTTGCTTTTAAAGATATGTAGCTTGAGCTACTCATAGAATTCTTTATCTTCCTGGCTAATGAGGTGTCAACAAGTGAGTTAACTTCTGGTTGCTTCTATCTTATATAAGACAGACAAGTAAGGGAGGTGTTGGCTTAAAATAGTCTTGAAACATTATTCATTTTGTCTATTTTAACATGGGCTGGAAAAACACTAATATTCAAGCCAGCAAGAAAATCTACTAAGAATTACCATGGTGATTTCTGATGTTATGTAGGATATATGCTTTACTCCAGTTTATGTTAAAATATATTAATGCTTTGCCTTATTGCTTTCACCCAAACTTAATGGCATTTGGCCCAAGGTCATTCCCACTGAACTGAGGTGAAACTAGTACTGATTGCCCCTTTTTCTCAACAATTGTCTTTAAGAACTGGTTGCCTAATGATTCTTCTTGGGGCATTTAGGAGGGAGAAAAGGAGTTTTTTTGGTCAGCCTGGTCAGAAACAGGCAAGTACTTTGTGTCTGATGGCTGAGGCAGTACTTTAGATTAATGCTATCATATCTCTTTCCCCTTCAACTAATTTTTAAAGGACAGTTCTCAGCAGCCTGCAGCACTGCAATAAAGAACCAGGACTTTGTCTGCACAACCGTGGTTCCCAGAGAGTTGCCTGGGAATCTCTTGCCATCTGCTGGAAACGTGCAGATGTACATCCTTGAAGGAATTCAGCCTCAAAGTTCCTGCCAGAGCCGGGAGTGCCACGAAATAATGAAGAACGGCTGGAAAGCAGCACGAGGGATGTTCCTCACTTTTAGTCAAAACCCCAACTCCAGACCGAGCTAACTCGGGCTCTCAGCAGCTGAAATACCAGCAGCAGATTCCTGATGATTAAGGTGATTCCTTAATAAATCACCTTCTCCACTGGCACAATAAATCTGTGCCATGATTGGGTGCTGAGGTTGAATGTAGAATCATAGACTTATTTTCAAAACAGAACTCGAATATTTGAAAAAACCCTCTTTTTTTAAGCTTTCTCTTTCTCAAACACATCAGTTCACTTCATAGTCTGCTCTCCAGAGTAAAAGAGCTGATCTCAAGAGATAACAACAATAATAATTCTTAAATAAACTAAAATTTTAGATGCAGCAAATATCTAATTTAAACCTGGAATAAAATTAAATTACCTGTAGGAGCCTGTCAGCTCTTCAAATCTAGGTGTAGTAGGCAGCAACACTACAACTTTTCATTAAGGTGAGGATGGCTCAATAGAAAACAAAAGTGCAATGCCTGCCATCTGGGGAAAAAAAAAAAAGGGAAAACAAAAAAGCTTAGGAATACACTCAGGATTTACAGCTTGTTGTGTTTTCAAACCAGTTACAACCCTGTTAGCTAATGCACAGAGCAAAGCCAACATCCTCTCCAAAAAACACCATCTGCCCAGAAGTGAGAAGCATCTATTAGGAAATTCAACTGTTTAAACAATTTTGTAATATAAGAAAATACAAACCAACCCAAAATAAGACTTCTAAAATAACAGCATGAGCACTAAGAGAACAACTACAAAATATCTCTGCAAGATGTAAAAATATTATGGTTCAGATTTTCATCAAGCCCTAGAAATGCACCTAAGCTTTTCTCCTTGGTAAGTTGTGCTGGAAAAAAACCCCAGAACAACCAGGAATAAACCCCACAAAACCTCAAATCACAGTTCTGAAGAACCTTTTATCTCCCAATCCAACAGCTCAAGGAGCTGGAGATCAAAGTGTAGCTTGACCTGAAAGAATTATGTTTATAGACATATCTTACATAATGTTCTCCATTTTAAGCAGAGAAATTTGGAACACATGAAGATTTAAGGGCCAACTTTGAAACCATATTGACAGTTCCCACTAAGATAAAATTAGCAGAGGCTACACAAATAATTCAGATTGAAGACTGATAAATGAAACCATTTGGTGCATTTCCCTGGTGTCAGAGAAAACATCTAGACTGATGGGAATTAATTTTCCCACTTTACTTCTACTTAAACTAATGTCAAGTATTATTTATTTGAGTTTTGGAAGATTGCAGAAACAGCAAAAGGAGGTTCAGAGCTACAGTGCTGCAAACTCAACACGTACACACCCAAAAGCCCAGAGAGATACTGAGAAAGTGCTAAATGGGGCCTGAAAAGAACTTGAGACTAAGGACTGAATTTTTTCCCCTTTCAAAATACCAATTATGACAGCTCAACTCCAGGTAGCCAAAAAAAAATCTAATAGTTGTGACTCCTTCTTTTGGTTTATTTTTCAAATGTGGTGGGTTGTGTTGCCCAAAGGTGGATATGAACAGATCGAGAAAGGCCCCAAAGAAAACCTTTCTCTTGGATAGCTTGTTTGCCTGGAAAAGTTTTAAATTACACAAGGAAATCAGGGCAGGGTAAGCAGCATTTCCACTAGAGGACTCTCTGAGTTCACCATCCCAGCCTGCAGCAGAGGAACAGGCAAAGCTCTGATCTCCTGCACACGGGAGATGTTCCTGCTTCAGTCACAGAGGATTCACGGTTTGGAAGCGAAAGACCAAAGGAACATTAGGGAAAAACACCCAAACCCAGCTTTACAAAGCGAAGGGCATTAACCACGTCACAGGCTGGCTCTTCTGAGACTGTGGGTACTCAAACAGCACCAATACAACAACTCTGCTGTTTTTCTCTCTTCCTCTGCTCTGGCCACTCTAATACTGTTATTTTTATTACCTCTTTATGATAACTTTGGCTGTGGTTTCCCTGTTCCCACCGCTGGCAGGTGCTGGATGGGCGCTCACAGGGCATCCCATTGCTGGGCTTCTGGGAAACCTCCGGGGAAGCAGCTCTGACAGCCTGGGGGGGGCACACAGGGCCTGTCCCCTCACAGCTCTCACCTGTCCCCTCAGCACTGTCCCCCCATCTGTCATCTGTCCCCTCACAGCTCTCACCTGTCCCCTCAGCGCTGTCCCCCTCACCTCTCACCTGTCCCCTCACATGTCTCCTTCCCTCTGCCCCCTCATCTCTGTCCCCTCACACCTCTCCCTCCTTATTGTCCCCTCACACTTGACCCCCCTCACTGTCCCCTCAGCACTGTCCACTCACTTGTCCCTCCTCACTGTCCCCTCAGCCCTGTCTCCCCTCACTGTCCCCTCAGCCCTGTCTCCCCTCACTGTGTCCCCTCACTGTGTCCCCTCAGCCCTGTCTCCCCTCACTGTGTCCCCTCACTGTGTCCCCTCAGCCCTGTCTCCCCTCACTGTGTCCCCTCAGCCCTGTCTCCCCTCACTGTGTCCCCTCAGCCCTGTCTCCCCTCACTGTGTCCCCTCACTGTGTCCCCTCAGCCCTGTCTCCCCTCACTGTGTCCCCTCAGCCCTGTCTCCCCTCACAGTGTCCCCTCAGCCCCGTCCCCTCACGGCCCCTCCCTGTCGTGCCGCGCTCCCATTGGCCGCAGGTGTTCCCCCCGCGATCTCTGGTTGGCTGGGACGCTCCGGTCTCCCCAGGTAACGGTTCCCGCGCCGCGATTGGCGGCCGGGGGGCGGGACGCGGGCGGGGATTGGCTCCCCATTGGCCGCCGCTCCCGCCCTCAGGCCGCCATGTTGCCGCGGGCGGGGGCGGGCGCGGGGCGCTGAGGCGGGACCGCGGCTGGGGGGACGGGGGACGTCGGAGGGGCTCTGAGGGGGAGCCTGAGGGGGAACCTGAGGGGCTCCGGGGGCTCCTCCGTCGCTGCTCCCCGCCGGCGTCCCGCCGGCAGCGAGGCAAAGTCCTCCGCGAAACTTCCTCGCGGGACTTTGAGCAACTTGAGGCCGCGGAAGGTGTCGCCGAGCGCCGCGCAGGGAGCGGCCCCTGCTTACCCCGGTGCGTGGGGCGGGACCCCCGCGGGCGGAGCAGGTAAGGGGACGGGCACGGGCACGGGCACGGGCACGGGCACAGCCCGCTCTGCCCGGGGAAGTGCCGGCGCCGCCTCGTCCCGAGCGGCGGTGTCGCCTCCCGGTGTCGCAGGCCGGGGCTGAGGGGCCGCGTGTCCCCCTGAGCCCCCCGGGACAGGAGGGTCTGGAATTCTGGGGGGTCTTCCCTCCCCGGTACCTGTGGCCAGGCTCGCCCGGACAGCGGGGTCAGGGAGGCGTCTGGGAACACACAGAGGTGTGTGAGGCGGTACTCTGGAATAAACAGGATGTTTGTCACCTTCCGATCGTAAAGGTGAGTTAAAGTTGCCCCGTGGAGTTCCCCTCCTGCTTCTCTTGGGTGAATTTGTAACCGACGTCAATTGACTCCAGCGTTCTATGTATATAAAAACTATTTCTAGTTACTCTGTTCTGTGGAAGAAAAGAGCCAGACGCTGTGTTGATGAATAAGTAAAGATTTCCTGGGAGTATTTTCAGCCGAGAGGGAGCTGTTGGATGGTTGTTTTTTTTTAAACAAACATCCTCAAACGCTTGGGATATTTCTGTAAAACTAAATTGCACAGGGTATTTTTAACCAATCTCGTTTAATTTCTGTGCAGGTCAGTGGTCTTATACATTTTTCTTTTTGATTTCTTGCTGCTCCATGTAAAGTTATTTGTGTTTCTAAAATTTGACACAACTCATTTGTTTAGCAGAGTGTGTGTATATTCATCAAGATTCTGTTTGTTTTTTCATATGCAGCTGGATTGGGAGTCATCTGGAACAGAAACTCATATTTCACATGTGAAGCTCTTCACTTCAGAATTAGTTATCTGTCTTGAATGAACTTATTTCTACATATTTATAGTTTCGTTTAGACTGCTAAATACAGACCATGCCTAGCAGAATGGGCTCAAAAATGGATTTGAACAAAGACTTCATCAAAGTAAAAACACACTACAGTGGGTAAGTCAGCATGTCCTTTCCTCTGTGTTGTGCCCTGTCTATTTTTGAAGCATATTGAGCAGGAGTTCGTGGTCTGACCTAGTGATAGAGTAACCAGGGCATTGGTGGATTTGTAATTAATGTCAGATCAGGCAGGTAAACTTCTGGGCTATTAAAATACCTTTCAGAGTCCTGCAGCATGCTGATCAGGAAGGAAAGTTAATTTATTCTTCTCTCAGAAGGGGGAAAAATGTGCTTAACTGGTGTACAGTTATTCTGGGTGATGGATTATTGATTCCCATGGTCACAGGCAGGTCTAGCTCCATCTCCTGCATCCAGATGCAGTTATTACATTTTATCTGTAATAAAAATGTCACAGCCCTTCATGACTTCACTCAGTTGTCAGTAGAGTCAGGAAGGTTTTATTACTGCAACATGAAATCTGGATTTTCAGGTATGTTTAATCTAATTCATTTGCTGCCACTGTGAGTACCTTGTAAAATAAGATTGCTTTGGTCTCTGTCTTCCTTCGAGACCTGAGTTGAAATCATTTGAGGAGTTAAATGTTTGGCCTGAGTAGATCCTTAACTTGAAGTATTTAGACTGAACTTGCTGGCATTTGGTAAATGACTTGAGTGATCTTTTGTGATGTTTTACTGCTATATAAGTAAATGTTGCTACTACTGTGGTTGTTCTTAAACTTATCTACCAGGTCAATGCCAAGTAGTTTGAGGATCTGAGTTTAGAATTCCAGAGCAATTGTATTAATTTGGTAATGCCAGTTTTCTCATAAATTACTGTGAAAATGTATCTGCTTTTACTTTATCTGACTTCAACTTCCAGCTGTGCCACTGACTTCCAGTTATTTCCTTATGCTTAGTCATTTGATTTTTTTATGTCTTCGTTTTGCTACCTGTAAATTGAAAGTGTTGTAGAATCTGTTAATTTGCAGCTCGTTTATCTACAGATTAAACTTTCATATGAAGATTTGCTTAGTAAAAACACTGATAAGGTTTTAGTGGTGGGAATCCATGTCCAAGTTTGGTCTTAAAATGTAGAAATTTGCTACTTGAAGGAAAATTTACCAGAAGTCCATGCAGTAGGAGAGCTGCCTTAGCTCTGTAAGGGAAGGCACTATAAGCACCAACAGAAGTGGGTGTAAATAATTTGGAATAGTTTGCTGGCAAGTAGTGTTGATGTAAAGTCATTCAGGCATTTCCATTAGCTGAGAAGTCTGTAGTGTGTCAGTTTACAAACGAGTTCCTCCCTGAATTTTGGTTTTGTCCTATTGATCAAATTCTCTGAGTTCACACTGACTGGTTTTGGCATCATAACCTGTGTCACTGTCATCTCTGTCTCGCCATTCCAGTACTACACTCAGCTTTTGAACTAATTTGACTGCAGGAAATCATTGATGCTGGACAGCTTCAGAATTAGGGACAAGCTCCCTCAGGTAGCTGCTAAAATTAAAATAACAGTGCAAATACCATCTTGAAATCCCAGTTAAAGAGCAGGAGGAAGTTGTAAAACACGCGAGTGTCGAGTGGATCTCTGGAGTCTGAGTATCTCAGGTATTTGTGTCTCTGGGTGTGACAGAGTTCCTGACATAGCACAGTAGAAATAACTGCCTGAGCAGATTGCAGAAGGAAGGCAACTTGTGCAATTCTTATTTTGTTATTACAGTTACTTGGTTTACACCTGGTTGTTTGAAATCACTTCAATGGATGCAGCTTTGTTTGCTGCACGTTACCTTGGCTCCGAGTGGTGACACACGTTCTCTCTCAGTGGGAATGATGATTCTCTTGCTGGGACTGCTCTTACAGAACTCACTGGTCCTTAGCTCTTCATATAACTGTGTAGTGTCCAGTTCCAAATATCTTTTCCAAAAAGTCCTGTGGGGTTCTTTAGTGTTAAACAGTGAGTGATTTCCACTTATCTGAGCCCTGCCCGATGTGCCTGTAGAGACATTAAGAAGGAACGTGGACATCATGAATATGGTCATTAATTTACCTGTAGAATGGCATCTGTCACAATACTGTTAACAATTCAAGGCTGATTAGTATTTGCCAGCCTTGGTTGGGGGTTGTAGTGTGTGTGGCAGTGTTGTCTCACTCTGTATTTTCAGGTTTAAAGTGTGATTGTCCAGCTTCCACAGACCTACAGCTGCTTGATTGCATGAGTAGCTTGTGGTGGCACTGCATTAAATAATGAGCTGCATTTTTAGTGACCTTGTCTCGGGGCAAGGCATTGCACCAGCCCTCAAACACTGCTGTGAGAACCAGTTTGGTCTCTTACTTTCCTAAATGCATAAAACATGACTTCTTTGACAGGGAAATGCTCTTAAACTGAGCCTCACCTGACAGCTCTCAGGACTGTAGGTAATATGGGGTTACAGGTGTGCAGGTGGTGTATGTATTGCTTCTGCTGTTGCTGCTATGAAGAATTATTAAGTTGCTGTTCTTTGAGAGCTTTACAAAGTGTAGATTAAAGTTACACTTGAAAAGGTAGCAGTGCTTTTAATCTGAATTTGAAACAGTGCAGTTCTTTAAAGTGATTGTCTTAGAGCTTTGCTTGTAATTTTTCTCAGCAAAGGCAAAATGGAAAGTTATTAATGCATATAATTTAAAATGTAAGTTGTGGAATTTAAGTTTCTTAGTTCAGTGTAGTACTATTCCACTGCTGGCTGAAAGACATAAATAGGCAGAATATGTCATATAACATTTTTGCTAAAATGACTTGTCACACAGTATGGAAATAGGAAAGTTATCTCAGTCATATTGGGCAACTTCTGCTGATTTGCTGTGTTAGACTAAGAGCTGAAAGAATTACACATGCCAGTAGCCATTAACTACACAACACTCCTGATTATCCCCTGGAAGGTTTTGAAGGCAGCAAAATGACTTAAGTTCATCTCCTGTTTCTTCTCGCACTTGTTTATTAGTTGGTTTCCCATAGTCATTTGAAAAGTATTTTAAAAATAGGAGAAAGTCTAGTTTGTATCATGAGATTTTGTTCTGCATAATCTCTTTTCTTTTTTTAACCTCTGACCTGCTTTGACAGTCCTGTGTGGGCTTTCACTGTACCAGGAGTTACTGTCCCAAATGCCTGAGAGACTGAGGGTTTCCATCAGCCCAGTTCAGCACTGGGCCCACCTTCTCTGAGCACTGTAAAAGTAGAGCACAAGATGCAGAATTTGAGTAAGATTTTATCTGAATTGTCTTGTAATTACATCTTGTGAGAACTCACCTAATCAAAGCTTCCTCTCCAGCAATATAGTGGATGTGAGGAAAAGCCCACTGTTTAAAAGGATTTTACAATAATGGAGATTTTACTTATCTCCTGATGGAAGAATTACCTGGATTAAAAAAATTAATTTTTATGAAAGCTTCTGTTTTTTCCTAACAACACTTCAAAGGCTGATAATTATAATAAGGGAACTTTGCTCACCCAGGTAAACGTGCATTAAAAATAGGTGATTAACACAGTTATTTCCTCCGTACTAAAGTATTTTTTTTGAAGTTAAGCACTGAGAGATGTAATCCTAGTGACATAGTGGGAGCATTTTATATGAGGAATGCTCGTTCTCTAAGTGTGATTCTGCAGCTTAGTGTCCACAGATGGAACTGCTGGGATGTGCAGGCCAATGCAGGTATTTTGATAAAACCTGATGTGTTCATCTCCTGCAGGGACATCCTGATAACAAACCTGGATGCCTCAATGAGCTACGATGAACTCTGTGATGAGGTGCACGAGATGTGCAACCTGCAGCAGGAACAGCCAATTACCCTCAAGTGGATTGATGATGAAGGTATGGGGCTGAAATACTGCTTGGGCATTCTTGGGGTTGTTGCTCATTGTGGGACAGAGAAGGGGCACTGAGGAAACTTGTACAAACAGACACCATATTGTGGAGCTGGTGGTCGTTTCTAAATATCTAAGTACAGAACCCTGTCTTACAAAGCAGGGAGAAATGAGCCTCAAGACATCAGGTTTGATCACAGTAGCACTTGAATTCACTTCTGGAGAAGTGAAGGCTTTATATATAACCCATCTGCACCTTGTCAATGCCATGGTCTGCACAACTCCTAGAACTGAATACAGAAAGATAAAAAAATACTAAATTGGTTTGGCTGACGTCTGTAACTTTGTGTTTTGGTTTCTCTAATAGTAGCCTCTCTGATAGTACTGCTCCCTTAGCTGTGCAGTGTTTGAGTGAATTGAATTTTAAAGTAATGTCTGGGGAAGGAAGTAGCCTATAGTCAGAGAAGAGTCAGTCCTTTTTAAAATATCGAGGAGTAATATCAATTATTTTTAAATTTACTCTTTATCTTCTGATTACCAAGAAAGACAGAGGCAACTCTGCTAACCTGTTTTCTAACCCTCATTTTCGTGGTGGTGTAATAAAAAGTAACCTGATCAGAAGGGCATGGAGGATAATTACCTTGCCTGTGCTCAGCTGTTTGAACTGCATCCCTGTTAATAAAGGGAGATTGTTGCAGGGAAGAAGAAAACCTCAGGAGTTTTGTGTTGGAGGATTTTAAGACATGAGTCCTGCTATCTGTTGCATTGGCTTCTTGAGGCTTACTTAAATTAAAACAACAAATCTCCTCAGTTGCAGTTCTAATAACTATTTTCCTCCAGCCTTGGTTAAATCCATACCTGTACAACCCTTCTTCTAATTCCTGGCTCTGAGCTGTGGAGCTCCAGCCAATCTGCTGTTTTGGCTGTCCCCAGTCCTCCCGGGTTTTGGGAGTTATCCTGTGTCTGCATACGAGTGTTTCCACTTCTTGCCACATGGAATTGAAGTTCATTTGTCTGATTGCACAAACAGATGTTCTCTTTGAACCAACTAAAAGCAAACAATTGCCGATGGCTTAATGAATAAAGAAAACCTACCAAGAGCTGAAGAAAACAGACTTTCTGTGGGGCTTTTGTAGTGTTTCTTTGTTTTTGACAAGATGCAAAATGTTTAAGCTATGAATAGCTCACTCATAGTAAAATCCCATAAACATATAACTAATGTGGATTGTTGATTTGCAGTACAAATAATTCCAGTGTCTTTCATGTTGCATTACTGCAGTATTTATAGATCAGCAGCAGCAGTGGCCTTCAAAGAGGGGTGGATGGGCCCTGGATGCATCATTTCATAAATGATTTATAAAATAATTTTTTAAAAATAAGAGATCAAACGTAAAATGTGGATGGGCACTGGTGTCATCACTTGGCCTGTCTGTGCCAAGGCCAGGTGTCCCCCAGGGTGTGCTCAGGAGGTGGCTGTTCCCAGGGGTCAGGGTGACACCCTTGCTGTTCGCTGGCTCCCCGTCCATTGGGACGTTCTGTACTTTACGTGTGTCTGCTTAAGGGGATTTGTGGATTAATTACTGAGTTTTAGCAAAAATAACCCTCACAAGGTAATGCTGATAACGTGACCACAAGCAGACAGGAAAACAAGGGGATCTTTAAGTATGGCTATTCCCTTTTATGTTGTGTTATCCTGTTGCAAACCAGTGTAGTGTAGTTCTGTCTACTCAGTGTTGATAAAGTTGGGAGGAATAATTCTGTTACTCTATTTTGGCTTTGATCAAAGTGCCAGCTTGGTAACAAGTCATTCAAAGAAAGGCAATCCTTGAGGCTGGTGCATTTTTTTTTTACTGACTAATTGAAATTCTCCACTGAATTGCTGGATGTTAAAGCTGCCTGGGCCTTTCTTGTCCCTTTAGGTGACCCCTGTACCATCTCGTCTCAGATGGAGCTGGAGGAAGCCTTCCGTTTGTACTGCCAGAACAGGGACGAGGGGCTCATCATCCACGGCAAGTATTGCACAGCTCAGGAACCTCTCTGGGATAATCCCAACAGCTGCTCCAGTGGGAGCTGCAGCTGGAGCAGCTCCTCTGCCTGGCCAGTAACATTCTGGGTGGAGCTGGTGCCCTGCAGTTTGTTGTAAGAAGAAAGTGGAGCCCAAAGCTGAACTACAGCAGGCTTTGAGGGGGCTTTGAGTTTTAGCTGCACAGATTTGTTAATGCTTTACTCCAGTGTAAGATCCTGCCAGTCTGGAACCAAATTCTGATTGCATCATTTCTCAGGCAGAATTATTTAAAGGCTTCCAGAAACTGTCTCTGTGTAAATATACTCAAAAACTCAAAAAGGAAAAAGGACTACTGAGAATCTTTTACCTTAAAAATCTAATGTTTTTGTTTTAGTTTTCCCAAGTATTCCAGAGAAGCCCGGCATGCCTTGTCCAGGAGAAGATAGTGAGTACTAAAATGTTATCAAATTTTAGCTAAGTATTTTGCAGTCATGTGAAAAAAAAAATATATTAAAAGATTTTCATAATCTAGCATTACAGTCGTGTATCTGTTCTGTTTTCTTAAAAGAATGTAAAATCTTTAATATTTTGTCAAGAGAAATTACATAAATCAATGTTGTAGCAGTGTTTCAGTGTTTCTGAGGATTAATACTGGTTTCCAGTAGTTGATATATTGGGAGAAGGAGAATTTTAGCAGGATTTTAGATGCATATTTGAACATGGGCATTTACTTTTGTGGTTCTTTTGGGATTTTAACTTGCAGGGAAAAGAAGGGATGTACTAAAGAGGGAGATACAGCCATTTCAATAAAAAGGTTATTAATCTCTGTAAAAATAATCCTGTGAAAGGTAGATAAAGCTCCAGAGGAAGGACACATAATTGATAAGGTTTACCTGTATTTTAGTAGCCTGAGCTGCACAGGGATAAAAGGATTAAATGGCTGTAGAGTCACTTTTCATTATGGGGGGATGGCATCAGGACATTAGTTCGTATCTTGGTAAATGTTAAGGAAAGGAATGGGAATAATTGGGTGCCAGAGGTACCAGCTGATGCTCTCAGGAGCGTGAGGAAGAGCTGACTGAAGAACTTGAAGGACCTTTGCTCTTCTCTTTGGAAAATAGAAGAAGGGATAAAACTAATTGGTGATAAAAGCAAGTAATGCATACTAGAGAAGAGTACTTGATGGACCAGGATTTAACTGACAGACTGGCTAAAAATGAATGCTGCAGTGGTAATAGTTATGAATATTTTTAATTAGAGAATTAATACTCATAATTGCTCCGTTGAGGGCTTTCACAAAGATGGAGTGAGGTGAAATAAATACCAAAATATTACAGTTCAAATATGATTTTTCACATCTGAACTACAGTAGGTGAAAGGTTAAGTGTAAAAACTAGACAAGTTTTCGTGTTCACCAGGTTATTAAAGTTGTCTTTTAGAAAGAAAGAAGAGTAAATGTGCAACACTGTCTGCTGTCCTTGTTCAGCCAATTAGAGAAAAATAAAGGCTTTTCTACGCTGATTAGAAGAGTTAAAGAAATTATCCCTGAGACACCTAATTTAATGAACTCATTAAAGATGTAGATATTCCAGTAGAAAGGCTTTTTGGGTTAATTTGCTGGAAGTTTCAGTTCTCTCAAGCCATGAGCTGAGCTCCAGCAGCCACAGCTGAGTGTGGCTCAGCTGACCTGGTTATTCTGTCTGTAGGGTATTTCTCTGCATTGCACTTGGACTGGATGGAAATGGGATTGATATTGGTGATATAAAGGACTATTTATTTTGTCAGGAGTAAAATACTGTCCTTTGTTCAGAAAATATTCATCCTGTTTCGAATTCTTACTTTGTGTCTTTATCACTGTAGTTATGTTCATAGGAAACACTTTTAAAAGTGAGAATATTATGTTTGCACTTCTCTAGAGCATCATGTTTGCACTATAAAGGAGCTTGTGAGTTTGCCTCAGGTTTTTTCCAGAGACAAATAAACAGTGAAGCAGTTGCTCTATCCAAAATGGGCCTCTACTTAAATTAGCAGTGTCTGAGCGTGGACTGTTGGTTTGTTACAGAACTACAGACAGTTTGAAATGGAGTTTTTAAATAAAACTGTTCAGTTGTGAAATAATTTCATTTGCAATCCATTGCTCAGATGTGTTCCTATTAGGTCACGGAGTGACTCTTTCCAGTAGTATGTGATCTTCTGAATTGCAAATCTTTTGTAGTGGATTTCCATAGAATTGAAGGGTTTTCTTTCCAGCTCCTTCAGAACAACAGTGCTTTGGAAGAGTGCAGAAATACGTGCTGAATGGTTTGCATTTATGTTGAAATTTAGTGATACAGCTGCAGCTATCCTCACCTTTGTTAAACTGATACGGGTTTGAGATTGTACCAAACCAGCAAAGCTTGAAATAAAATCATGTAATCCATTAATGGAATAAACCATGGGACTAATACTTCAATTCTATTTGCATGACTTAAGAAAAGTTATTTTCGTGCTTGAAGAATCTTTTTTCTTATACTGATGTGGTGCTGTCTGGGAGACAGAATTTGCTCAGTCTCCGGCATCTGTACTTGAATTGTCTCAGGGTTCCTTTGGTCCTGAATTTTTGCACTTTTCTGTTGGCACCAGCCCCAGATCCCACTGCAAACGCACAGCTGCTGGTGTACAACCAGCACATCTCCCTTCGGCTCCGCTGTGCCCACGGGCTGGGCTGGCAGTGCTGCTGTGCCCAGGGGCTGGGCTGGCAGTGCTGCTGTGCCCAGGGGCTGGGCTGGCAGTGCTGCTGTGCCCACGGGCTGGGATGGCAGTGCTGCTGTGCCCACGGGCTGGGCTGGCAGTGCTGCTGTGCCCAGGTGACAGGATGGCTGAAACCTCTCCCATCTCTTCCCAGACACTCCATGTGACCCCTGCCAGGCGCTCCCAGCATCTGCTGGACTGGAGCCTTGGTGCTTGAGCAGTGCTTCCTGGGAAAGATGGCAGACTTTGAGACTGCTCTTGGATTTATGGATACTTTCACTTTTTCAGCAGATTAGCTGTTCTTTTGGGACTGATCTGGAACGAGGCTGTTGGAGGTGTTTGGTTCCTGTTCCCCGAAGCCGCAGCCCTGATGATCCCGCGCTGTGGATCCCAGCAGCTGATGGGCACTTTTATAACTTAGTTATTGTAGTCTCAGCTTCTTTCTGCTGACAGCCCTTGCTGTGATTTATCACTCCTGGTGCTGCAGTCATTGTGTAACGCAGCACGTTCAGCTGAACGGTTTCCATCGATTTGTAGGACTTCCCGAACGGAATTGCCGGTTTTATCAGAAATGCTTGTTTTGGTGACATCAGCTCCTTGACATCCATGCCATGTTTTAGTTTGTGCCTCAGCTGCTCGCTACAGCCTCTCAAGGGAGCCAGTACCACCCGTGCCTGGATACATGAGGCAGAGATGTGAAAGGGAGAGACGGGGGTAACCAGTCTTCCATTAAATATTTGCTCTTAATGTTCGAGCTGATCCTGCCTATTGTCCTTGGTGTCTAATGGTATTCACACAGCAGCATCCGTGGAGTAAAGGGAAAATGTTTCATTTCATACCTACTACCCTGTAAAGAATTCCATGCTGAAGAGGCTAAAGAATAGAATCCAGTGAGTAATGCATGTTTGTGTGTGGGCTCGGCGTGCCGGGGGTGCCGAGGGGGCCGGGGCCGTGTGTACGTGTGCTGCAGGAGAGCACAGAACTCAGCATTTCGGGGCTGGTCCAGGCGCCCTCCCTGCCACCCTCCTGTGCAGCCATGGACTGTTACAAATGCAGACATTCCTGCTGCCTCTGAGCGTAGGGATGGGGCTCCGAGACCTCTCGGAAATGCTGGTAAAATTGCTTTGAAAGGACTCCTGGGGAATGTATTTTAGGAGGAAAGGAACGGAAGAGTGAGTGATGCTGCTGCTGCTAATATTGGAGATTAATGAAAGAAATGTATCCAAAAAACCCTGATGGTATGTGCTCAGGGCCTGCTTATTGTAAGATTGCTGATGTACAGACTAATGATTTAGAAGCATCATTTTCTGAGGCCTTTTTGTTGAATTGTGCTTAGTGGATTGTCATAGATGGATGTTTTTTAATTGTGAAATACTTGTTTTGAATTAAGGTTTACTTAGTTTTTAATATTGTCAGAAAAAACCGTGCTAGTTTACTTCTGCTTACAAATAGATCTGTGTGTTTAATATTAAAATTCAGCTTAGATTTGGGTAGCTAGTGCTAGCAAATTCTAGGGTTGTTTTGCTGTTGGCTTCATTAAATAGAGGAATGCAGACTAGGAAACCTTTAAATTAATTAACTAAAGAGAATGAATATGTTTTTAATGTAGCATGACTGTTTTTATTATCTAATATTTCCGGCTGATTTTGCTGCCTTGTTTTTTTGGTAATGATTACACTGTGTTGTGCATGTCTCTGATGCTCTTTGTTTATCTGCTCAGTATTTTAGCATTAGGTGTTTGGACTTCATTTTCCCCCAAGCCATCCTTCTTGAAAATTTCATCATAGGCTTGAGTAAAGGTGTCTTAGGACCCTAATTGCTGTTGTGAGCTTTTTATTTTAGGTATAGATACCGGATTTTGCTTTATGTTCTGCCCGATACTATGAAATAGCACTAAAAGGCTTCTTGCTGGAGTAGTGTGGCCTGTAAATATTTTTCTAGCTCCTAAGGCAGATTTTTCCCTTCATTTGTTACTGTATTGGCAGCAGTGATTAGGTTATTCAGAGCACGTGAACTAATTTAATCCCCCAATGAAGAAAGGAACTATTGCCACCATAGAGACTGTTCTGAAGACGTCGATTGGACTGCACGGGATAATTGGGCAATTTGGTATCTCTAGTAACCCTCTCCTGCTTTTTGTAATTGAACTGGGGAGGGGGGAATTCTGCTCTTTCAGTGTGAGATATTCTTGCTTAGGATTTGAAAACAGCTGTGTCATAGTTTCTCAAGAATACCTGAAATCTCCTCCTCTGCCTTTGCTGTGCTCCACGTCTGTGTCATACGTGACAGATGTGAAAAACACACGGATTGTGAGGCAGCACAAGTTCCTGACAACAGAATTGCAGTTAAAGGCCTGCTTTGCTTATAGTCATTGCATGGTTTTAATTCTAAAACAATTCCAGCATCTTTCTTTGCTGTGAAACCTCCGATGAAGAATAAAGGGCCAGGCCTCCCTTTGGACAATTGATGCATAAGATTATAAAGCACAGGTCTGATGCTGAGGTTTGAGATCTGCCCTTAATTAAAGGTACTGCATGTCTTAGCAGATGTTTATGTACCAATTTTTCAACTATAAACTAAAAATACAGTGGAATAAGGAATGCTTGGGCTAGTTTTTAAGGTGTCATAGCAAATAGCCTGTGTTCTTTATTTATTCCACACCCCCCATAGCTGTTGCTCAGACTGTAGTATAATCATGCAGAAAGGATGTCACCT